GGAGAAAGAAGGGACGGAACAGGAGGTAGTAAGGTGGAGGAAGGGGAGGATGAGGAGCGGAGGGGGATGGGGGAGAAGAATGAGGAGCGGAGGGGGGTGGGGGAGAAGAATGAGGAGCGGAGGGGAGTGGGGGAGACCTCAAGCTCGGTGGTGATGTAATGAGACGTGGCTCCCTCGACGTAAATCCCTCCAGTCTTGTCTTCACGGATCTTCAAAGGGAAACTTAAGGGGCGACCTCCTGTGCTCCTCATCTCTTGCTGCTGCTGCTGCTGCTGATCCTTCCTGCTACCTCGCTCCGCTCCATTCTCCTACTTCCTACTTTCGATTTACCTTCAAGTTATCCTTCTCTGGAGAAAGAAGATCTCGAATCTGAGAGTCACAGGTCAGGATAAAACTCTTACGGCCGTTGTATCTACCTTCTCGTTATAGATCTCCAAGAATTGAACTTGAATCATGAACTGCGTGTTGTTTAGCACGTTGAACGAGAGGAGATAGCGAGTTTTCATAGCATCCTCCCCGTCTATGTTTCTAAATCCAAATCCAAATCCAAATCCAAATCCAAATCCAAATCCATGTCCATCATCATCATCATCATCATCTCCTGGTGTTCTCACCTGCATGTGTTCGCCACTTCTCTCCATATAATCGAACACAGCGCAGATCATTCTGGCATCATGTCATCACAACGTTTTCACCTCCTCTCTTCACCTCGGGAGCAAACCACGCTTCTCCATATCCTCGATTTCTCCTTCCATCGTGTAGGTCTGTCAATCCAGAATTTAGTTGCATCTCCTCTTCCCCTTCCCCGTTCCGCCGCCCTCCCCCCCCCCCCTCCCTCCCTCACCCGCCCACCACCACCTCCTCCTCCTCCTTACCTTTCCTGATCCGGTTTGCCCGTATGTAAGGATGGTACCATTGTACCCCTCAAGGTAATCATCGACAACCTGGTTCACTCCCTCAGTCTTGTTGCAACTCCCCTCTGCCAACGTACTGGTTTTGCCGCCAGGTTGTAAACATCATCTTGTGTTCCGTTCATGTCCAGGACTTCGAGTCCAGCGTCATAACACAACAAGAAGGATCAGCAGACTCTCTTCACCAGAATCGTAGTCGAAATGCATTCTTTCATTGCCACACTGAGTTGACAAGCAGAAAGTAGTTATTAATCGAAAGAGTCATTGAGGTGTTCTTACGATGTCTACTCCCTTGTTGTCAGAGTTGACTTGTACACAAACATCACTTCGCTCTCTGTGAAGATTGAGGTCAGAAGATGTCATGAAACGACATCTCGCTTCATGTGAAGAAGAAATCGAAACATGGACGGTGGTCACAATCTAACCTGATCTCCTTGGGGCTGAGCGGACGAATGCGGCAAAGAACAGAGATTCCTCTCTCCACCTCGTCACTGTCCAGATGTCATTCCAACAGCCCCATGCTGCTCATGTCAGTCAACAAGACTTGCCTGCCCGTCATGCTCTTCCTGTCTCGTGGACCCTGCTACTCATCGAGATTACAATAGCGCACACCTACTCCCGCAAGCTTTTTACCTGTGGGTCAGTAGAACCAGCCATCCCAGGACTGTTAAGCTGCAAACTGTTGTCAGCAGTGAGCTCTCAGGGATCAGTCACAACATTCGAACAAATTCAACCAAGATATCTGCTTCCTCGGGAACTTCTCGTCAACTTATTCCAGCGGAACCGCATATCAGCTTTACATGACGCATGACATACCCCCTGCTCTCTCAGCCTCACTGTGCCTGTGTCTGTCTCTATGTAGCGCAGCTTGATCCTGATCCTGAGAATCTCAACGAGCCAACAACCTCGATCTATGTTCCTGTTTCTAACAGGTTTCCGTGCTGCAATTTCATGTCTGTCTCACTGCCTCTCTCTTCCGGTTGTGTATCTGTCAATCTCTCCGTCGGTGTCTCCATCTTTCTCTTCTCCTCACTGTCCATCTCTTCAAGTCTCATGACCTTCGTCCTTCTCTCTCCGCCTTCTCGTGCTCCTTCTCTCCATCCTGCCTGCCATGTCATTCAAAGCGAGTGCTGTTGGGTGAAGAAAAATATAACAACTAAATTTCTTATTTACCACCCATGGATCATTTATTTAGAGTATATATGCTCTATTTAATGATTATATTCTCTATTTGAGTGTTATTTCTCTTGTTCGAATAAGAATTAACATTATTTTATTCGATTTTAACGGTCATTTGGTATAACTTAACCCGGTGTGGACTCCCGGTTCATCGGAGGCTCCGATGAAGCGGCCGGGCCCAGCGGCTGACAGGGTCGCCGGGCAGAGCCTCACTGAGTCACGCTCAGGCTACAGTGACTGAACACTGTGACAGGCTTACTCCTGGCAGTCACGCGGCCGCAGCGGCCTCGCCGCCGGTTGCCGCATGCCAGTCACGGGCCGGTTCACTGACTTGAACCGTACGCTGGGTACGCCGTCGTTCACACGGTAACTGGCACGGTTGCCACTCCGGCGAAGATCGTGACACACACCGCACTGTCACCGCCAGTGACGGACAGACGCCCCGGGTTCCGAATCAAGTTCCGAAGTTCGCCGGGCCCCGGGCACGACGCGGCCGCCGGCCGTATCACGGAGCCTGAGTGTGTCAAGCCCGGCTTCAAGGCTTGCTGACGGTCTGAGTCCGACTGGCAGTAAGCGGCCGCAGGGCGGCCGCCGGTGCCAGTGTGTGACCGTCACTGGCCCGGGTGATTCAGTGACGGTCGGACGCGGCGGAAAGACTGAGCCCGACCTCGGAACTTGGTGACTTGAATTGAACTTTGCCCGGCGGAGAACAGTGCCAGTGAAAATTTGCCAAGTTTGCCGCATTGATGGATCGTACCGAGCTTGATCAGCGGCGGCCCGCCAGCCGCCGCCGGGGCCGGGCCGTGCCCCGGCCGCTAAGTCAGTGAGTCAGAAACCGTTGAAAAACTCTCGGCTGAGGGCCTGTACCGTACGGTAAACCAAGACGACTAACTAGTAACTGGCGTGTCAAGTTTGAAGGCGGCCCATGTAGCCTAGCCTACTAGCACTGCTGCCATGATGATGTGGGACGAAGCAGGGGGCCTTCCAGGCTAGCCGTATTGCTAAGGTCCTCTCAGTGTCTGGATGGCAGGCTTCAAGGGCCCTGGGTTTCACATCCTAGCATACAGTCTTCAACCCGGGCCTCTCATGTGCTCCTCAATCATTCTGGTTTTGTGTCCGATCACATCAAACTCGCACGGTCTTGACGGCGCCGAGCAAAAACTGTCTTGTAACAAACTTGTACGGTTCAATCATTCGGATAGCCTCCGCCGCAACACTGGCTCACGGTGACTGCATGTCCTACGGTACGGTACGGTAGTCACCGTACTACGGTACAGCCTGAGTCACTTGAAGTTCAAACCGTTGAACCGTTTTGCCGCAGGCCCGCCGCGTGCCGTAGTGCGAGACCCGGACTCGACTCAGCGGGAGGTACTTTACTCAAAGTGACTGTCCTCCTGTTTACCGCCCGCACTGACCCTACAGCTGGCGGGGGGTCAGGCAGTCGGAGGTATATAAGGAATATTCGACACTCCGCGCTGTACTGCCTCGACTCTCCTGCCATGATTGTCCTCGTACTGTTTTTAACTTAACAAAGCATTTGAGTAAAAGGACTGATGTACTGATCACGGTCATTTCAGGCTGACCGTGACAGTACCGGTACTACGGTAGCCAGTGGTGGTCAGTAGTACCGTAGTAGTAGTGGTGGTGGTTACTCAGTGGTAGTCGTAGTACTAAGGCGGCACTGTGCCGCAAGTACCGGTGCTACGGTAGCCAGTGGTGGTCAGTAGTACCGTAGTAGTGGTGGTGGTGGTAGGGGGAGGGGACATCTCACTGCACAATGATCGGATGTCTGGTAGGGGTGGGTACTAGGCTAGTGGGTGGCGGGTAGGGGTGGGTAGGGCCTCGAATAGCTGGCTGAGAGCTCTCAGTGCGGTCTATATAAAGAGAGTGGACTGTTGACATGTAAAGGTCATTCTGTAAGAGGTGGGGTCTTTATCCGGGAATTACGGGGGGTGGTGCTCGGATTGCAGGAGGTCAAGCCATACGTGTTTGACGATGGCGGCTGGGCAGCTGCTGATGGTGAGGACGCTTACACTCTCCGAGCTTCGGCCACGCTGCTGCTGCATGCTCAAGATAAGAGCCATGCTCCTCCTCCTCCTCCTCCTCCTCCTTCCTTGCCTTCCCCTTGCCTCGTCGTCCCTTCAACAACAATCTGAACTCATGACGATGAGAGCACTAGAGTGGGAAATCCGCAGCATCAAGCAGAGCCTTTCTGCTACCCTCGACGAGCTTCGCAGCCTCAACTCTTCGGTCACCTCCATGCCGCAACTGCCCTGGGGCAACTTCACCTCCAACTCAGTGCGCTGCACGCTCGCATACAACTGGTCTCAGATCATTGAGAAGGAGGACCAAGGGAGAGTTCAATTGGGAGGTCTAGGGCATCTCATGCAGATCGACAGGTGTGTCGTATCTTTTCTTCTAGCCTACACGTTGACCTTTCATGTTCCATACAAGATTCGAGGTCTGGGTCTGCGACTATGACAACCGATGTGTCCAGCAGACGGGCGACGCCATGTGCTTTGTGTTCGATGAAGTCCAGGAGGTCTTTCTTCCATGGGGACTTGACTCGCAACTGCTCTTGACTCAGGTCAGTTGCTCGACTTCTCCTCCTGTGACGATACTGATGCTCCTCCAGCAAGGACCCTTCCAGCCTGACCTTGCCGTCTCCCACATCCTTGCTAAACTCAAGGCCCTCGAGCAGGAAATTCGCTCGGGGGGATGCGGGGGGTCGTGCGTGAGCCGGCAGGACGTGCAGCAGCTGCTGGACCAGTACTACCTGGAGCCCGGCTACCTGTGGAGCGCCGGCAGCTTCAGCGAGTGCAGCAGCCTGTGCGGCAGCGGAGTGGCGAGGAGAAGCATCACGTGCATCTCGAAGCTCCTCGAGCAGGTCGAGGACATTCGCTGCTCCAACCGCTCGAAGCCTCTGGCGGAAGTTCCCTGCCTCAACCTCTCCCAGTGCTCCTACGAGTGGGAGGTCGGCCCCTACAGCGAGTGTCTCAACGGCTGCGGCCAAGGCCTTCGGCGACGATCAGTGTCATGTAGGAGGAGTGACGGGGTCACTGTAGAGATTGGTAAGTGCCAGGGTTGGGCTCCCGTCAACGAGGAGGTAGCTCATGATGCAATGGGGCGTGAGCATCTGAATGACTGTGCCTGCAGCCCTGCTCGAATTTCTCCTCCTGCTCCTACCGCTGGACCCCCTCCGCCTGGGAAGCATGCTCCAGCACCTGCGGGCCTGGCTTGCAGTACCGGTCGGTGATGTGCGTGCGGTCGGACGGGGTGGAGGTGGGGGAGGGGATGTGCGAGGGGTCGAAGCCGAGGACCTTCCAAGCCTGCACGGGAGCGTCGGGCTGTAACTACACCCTGATCAACGAGTGCGCCGCTCACACCGACAACTGCGCGACCCACGCGAGCTGCATCGACACCTACTCGAGCTTCGAGTGCAGCTGCAAGCCAGGTAGCCCCTCCTTGGTTGCTGCTCGTGACTTGAGGGAAGGAGACGTTGACGGGAGACGCAGGGTTTGTCGGATCTGGAACCGTTTGCGAGGACGTGGACGAGTGTGTGACAGGGTCAGGTCGATGTGACGCTACTAAGACTTGTGTCAACACGGAAGGAAGCTTTGAGTGCTTGTGCAAGCGAGGTGAGGCAGGCGAAGCAAGGTGAGGTCATCTTGTCATCAACCTGACGCTATCTTGTATCTGGCAGATTTCTACCTCGACGTCGATTCCTCCTCCTGCCTCAGCTGTCCCACAGGTCAGTACGCGTCTAGTCTCGGACAAACGTCATGCACCACCTGCGCCCCCGGCTTCTACGGCTCCTCGAACAGCAGCTGCAGCTCGTGCCCCCCCGGCTCCTCGTCCCCCGCAGGAAGCACACTGGTATCCGACTGCCAGTGCCAGTACGGTGAGGCGGGAGCGAGAGGCGTCACTGTGAGAGTGACGGCCTGCAGGCTTCTCTGGGAGCATCTCAACGGCTGCCGACAGCTGCTCGCCCTCCTCCAGCGCAGAGGAGCAGTCGCGCTGGTTCAGACTCGGAGCAGTCGGCCAGTCATGCGCTGAGACGTGCGCAGCAGAGGGGAAGACGTGCGTGAGCTCGGCGATCAACCAGATCGACAACGAGGAGGCGATGCGATCGGCCGTGAGGGCGGCGAGCATCGCGTCCGATCGACGTATCCGAGGAGCGATGACGGAGCCGCAGCAGAGGCCTGGGGGCCTTCACTTGCGGGTGAGCGCGGGCGCGAATGAAAGAGGAGGGGACGTGCTGCAGGACCTGACGGCGAACAGAGGGCACGTGCAGCGGCTGCGATTTGTAGAGCATGGGGTGACGAAGTTTGATCTCTTGTCAAACAGAGTGCAAACCTTCTTTGATGTCAAACAGACATTTCATGTTGGTTTGCCGGATGCGCTTCAGTACTCGGGGACGATTGTAATCAGCGTGACGGTGGAGGATGCGGAAAGCTTTGACAGCATCCAGTCTGCTTACATTGAGGTCGCAGGAAGACGATGTGCCTTCACAGATCCTGCTACCGGTAACGCCAAAAATCTGCAGCAGATTCACTGTAAACTGGAAGTGACCCGCCAAGAAGCGATGGCTGATGGTGCTCGGATCGGTCCGATCCTCATCTCTTATGATGCCATTGGCAACAACGGACGCTCGACGTGGAGGATCGCTGTCGGAGAGATGAAGGACGAGACAGGCGAGCCTCTTAGAGTCATGTCGGACGGCGAGCTTAAGTACGTCAACGGCTCTATCAACGATGTTGTCTTGTTCCCTCCTCTGAGCATCCCAGGCGCCGCCTTCACCCTCTGCTCTATCTCGAGGTACAACGGCAACCGAAAAAATCGGGTGCTCCAAGCTTCCGACGACTCGTTTCTGCACGGACACTGGAACGGAGGACGAGGACAGTCGTACTACTACGACACCTGGATCCTTCAGCAGGACCTGAGCACCACGGCAGACGAGTGGGTGGTGCTGTGCGGACAGAACTACCAGTACGGGAAGTTCTTCCTGAACGGCGTGGAGTATGAACGATCTATGCCAACCTTGCCTGACAGCTTGCAGCTCTCTATCAACGACTTGAGCTGGCATCCTAGTGTCGGCTACTTCCTGGATACCTCAGACTGGGCGTTGAGCGAGGTAGCAATCTGGAGGGGAGTGCTGCGGGCAGATGAGATCAGAGCTGTCTCCGATCATCTGCTGCGGATGCTCTCCGACGGCAGTAGCGTCCGCTACAACCAGACTCTCAACGTCTCCTGCAGCATCGTTGGCTCAGCTGTCAACAAGATCGCTCCCTACGTGTCTTCTGACGGTGGCTGTTACTTCAGCTCTCCAATCTATCAGTCCACCTGTGATGCCAGCTTGTCCACAGCAAGCCGCGTCTGCCTCTGTGCAGCGCCATGCCTGGAGGACTTCTACGGTAGTGCCTGCTGGAGCTGTGCTGGGGTTTGACGGGCCTCACAGGGCAAGCGGAGGAGTGCTTCCGATGTCCCTTCTTCTCTCACTCGCAGCCTGGCAGCTCCTCCATACGCGACTGCTCCTGCCAGCAAGGTAGCCCACCTCAGCTGCCCTCCCTCGGGCCCGCAGGGAGCGACTGACTGTCCGCTGCTCTAGGGCGCTACCTCTACGTCAACTCCTCCGACGCCCCCTGGGGCCCCCAGGGCTCCTGCGAATCCTGCCCGCCTCACGCCTGGTCGCCTACCGGCAGCTCCTCCGTCAACCAGTGCCAGTGCATCGGCGGTAGGGCCTGAGCTTGCTCCGCTGAGTCAGGCTGACTGGTAGTGGTGGCGCAGGCTACTACCTGGACGAGGGGCCTTCCTGCTCCTCCTGCCCGTCCGGTCTCAAGTCGCCCTACGGGAGCTCGTCTTTGAACGAGTGCATGTGCCCGGCAGGTCGTGAATGCTCCTCTGTTGTGACTTGAGCGCGGGACCATGACGACCTGCACCAGGCGCGTACAAGTCTGAAGGGAACTGCTCGTCGTGTCCTGCTTACAGCACGTCCAAGGCTGGCAGCACATCAGTGGAAGACTGCTTCTGCATGCCGGGCTTCGGAGTGAAAGCAACGGGATTCAGCAGGCAGATCACCTCTCCTAGCGATCGCTGCGAACCCAACCTAAGGGAACTGATCCTAGCGGACATGAAAGGAGCCTCTTGCTCACAAGTGTGTCAGTCTGAGAACCTTGCGTGTGTGGAGGAAGGGCAGCCGGTGCTGAGGGAGGAGGAGATCAGTCTCCTGCTCTCCACTTGGGGGTTCCCTGTCTCCGGCATCGTCGGCACCAACAGCCTAGATGCCCCGTCCTACAACCCCGAGACGCAACAGGCCTTCTTCCGCTATGGCTTGCCCGGCATGTGCGGAGCCACTGACTCAAGCAACCTGAGAATCTGTCGATGCACGTGCGACGACAACCAGTACGGTGAGCTGCTTTCCTCGTGTTGCTTCCCCGCGAGCGACTTGACGGGCAAGACAGGCAAGACAGGCAACTGCTCGTCATGCCCGGCGAATAGCCATTCCTCCTTCCAAGCACAGGAGGCGTCAAGCTGCATGTGCGACTCCGGTAGGCCTGCCGTGTGCACCTACAAGCTCTGACTGTCGCTGCTTGGCCTTGCAGGCTACTTCTTTGACGCGTCCGCGGGAACCTGCAGTCTCTGTCCCAGCGGAAACTACACGGAGGAACAGCGGTTCGTGGACCGAGACTTCGGGCTGAACGGAGGATCGGGTTGGCGGGGGACGGAGAAGACCTCGAGCTGCGGGTCATACGGGTCAGTGCTAGGAGGGTTCAACGTGCTGGGCGAGCAGTCGAGCTTGACCAAGACGTTCACGGGCTTGTGCCCGCATGGCTTCCTTCACATCTGGATGCGAGTGCTACTCATCGACTTCGTGCAGCCTGTGACGTTACGTCTGACGGTCGACCGGAGGGAAGTGTGGAGCGAGTCGATCCCAGCCTCGTCCTCCTCGCTCTCTGAGTGCGGGCAAGCGGCAGGGGAGGAGATGATCGAGCGTCTCATACGGGTGTATCACACAGAAGATCATGTGGAGGTGAACATCCAGGTGGACTATGACTACTGGGAGGTCAGCGCTGCAACAGCCAAGACGTTCTGGGGGCTCAAGGAGCTCTCTGTCGTCCTGCCATGCTCGAGCTCAGCTGACTGCAGCATGACGTCATCAGCGTATCAGACATGCTCGGATGTGCAGGGAAGCGCAGCAGCCTGCTTGAGGGTAGGCGAGTACCTCTACGTGTACCACTATGGGTACTTCTTGAGCTCTCAGATAGAACCAACGTGCAAGCAGATCGGGAGAGGAGGACAACTTGCCTACTTTCCCGATCGAAAGACATACGATGAGCTGAGGTCAAGATTGTCACTGGGGCTCTACACCAGGATTGGTCTGAGCGTTGAGCGAGGATCTTCTTACTTCCGGTGGACGGCTGGAGGAGCCTTCTCCTCTCAGACCTGGGGAGACGTGGGTCCACAGCTGAGCGGGGATGATGCTTGTGTAGTACTTTACGATAACTCTTGGTTGCCGCTTCAGTGCTCTGACAGCGCAACGTATTTGTTGTGCAGTTACCCGATTGCTGCTCAGTGATGGTAAACGCGGCAGTGCCGAGGGTGACGCCTGACTGCAGTACTGTGAGGGTTGTAACCAGTAAACAATCACACATCTACCCTCTCCTCTTGTCGTGTCGCTGCCTCCCCACATCCTCTTCCTACTCTTCTTGTCTCCTCTACAACTTTTCTCTCGCTTCTCTTGTCTTTCTCAGCCATGCTGGGCTATACACGAACCTCAGCTGCCATGCCAGAAGATCGAGGATGGTCATTTTCACCTCTCTCTTCAAAAGCAAGCAGACAGAGCTCTGTCTCCCAGGCAGATGATTTGAAACCATAGCTCAGAGTCTTGGCTTGAGCTCATGACATCTGCTGCTATGGTTGCGGGTGACTTGATGACGATGTGTCAGTCAAGCTGGATCTGAGACAGAGCCAAGAAGCAATGCTGTTGATAATTCTATGGTGTTCATAGACCTACGCGTGATGAGCCTCAAAGCTAAAACAACGACAGGCAGCTCACTGTTTCTTCTGTTACAACTGAACACAGGAATAATTTAGAAAGGATGGGCAACCTTCATACATCATGACACGGAGGCTAGAGAAGGATCAAGCTCGTGGAATCTATCAATTTTCCTGTTTCAGGATCAACACTAAGTTCACGTCCGTCTTCAAGTCTGATATAGTAGACTTTGTTGTTGATGTAGTCGAAACTTTCTTTGCTCTTCTCGCAAGGGCTCATCGACGAAAAACTGCTCCTCAGCGACAGGGCAGTGCGGAACGTCTCGTTCATCTGCTCGAGGTCTTTTCTCATGGAAGCATTCTCTACCATCAGATGAGAGATCTCATCCTGCATGTGCTGCACGCGCTTGAAAGATTCCTCTCTCAGAGCAGACAGCTCCTCTTCATATTCCTCCTTCTGCCGTTCCATCATCAGCTCTTGTTGCTCTATGGTAGCATGAGCTTGCCGCAGCTGATCCTTGAGCTCCTGGACCGTTTCAGATGCCTCACTGCTAGCAGCATCCTCTTCAACTTCTTCCAAGCAATCGAAAGCAGCAGGCGTGTCCTCTTGTACATTTCGTTCATCCTGCTCCACTGCTGCGTCAGGCAATGGCGCTTCCCAGGACGAGGTATCAAGTACTGTGCGGTACTCTTGCAGCTGGTCAGTCCTGAAGACGAGTCTTAGTTCAGTCTGCGCTTGGCTCTCCTCCTGTATGATCTTGTTGATTGTTTCTTCGTCCACAAGGGCGGGAACCAGCTTCCTTCCAATACGAACGAGTTGATCCCCCACGTTTGGCACCTTGTCACATCGGCGTTCAATCTGACGTCTGTCCAGGTGAGCTACATGCACCTCTCCGTTGCTCTTGATCTCATACCGAATGCCCTTGTTCATCTGGCTCGCCGCTCCTGCTCTCCTTCCTCTCTTCCTCTCGCCCTCGCCCTACACGGCTGCTTCTCCCGAGTCCCCCGATCGGACGGAGCGGCTGCAGTCGAGCAGCCTCCTCGGTTCTTGCTTCTCTCCTCCAGTTCTCCTGTTCCTTCTTGTTCTTCTCTATGCTGCCAATTCCGCAACTTGCACGTGCTCCAGCGGTTCCGAGCCAGTCCACCGACGCTCCAGCTGTCAGTCCTCTCTACTGTTCTCAGCTCGTGCCAGCTGTCGTCTGCTGCTCAGCTCCTCCTCTCCTCGCCCCATCTCTCTGCTTCCTCTAGTCGAGGCTCGACCCCCTACCATGGCGGTGACCGTCAGCCACCAACGGTACTGCCAGAATACCGAGACCCCTTTCTCACAGGCCCGCCCCCTGGCCCGCCCCAGGCTGCGCCCCCCGGATTTCTGATCCGGCTCCCCAGCACCTCCCAAGCCCCTCCTCCCTACCCTCATCCTCTGAGTAGCCTCAAGTTTCTCCAGCATCCTCTGAGTAGCCTCAAGTCTTCTCCAGCATCCTCTGAATAGCCTCAAGTTTCTCCAGCATCCTCTGAGTAGCCTCAAGTCTTCTCCAGCATCCTCTGAGTAGCCTCAAGTCTTCTCCAGCATCCTCTGAGTAGCCTCAAGTCTTCTCCAGCATCCTCTGAGTAGCCTCAAGTCTTCTCCAGCATCCTCTGAGTAGCCTCAAGTCTTCTCCAGCATCCTCTGAGTAGCCTCAAGTCTTCTCCAGCATCCTCTGAGTAGCCTCAAGTCTTCTCCAGCATCCTCTGAGTAGGCTTACTCTTCTTGAGCATCCTCTACTGCTGGAATCCGCTCTCCCACTCCATCCCGTTTCTCCTCCTTCCTCCATGTCTTTGCTTAGCTCTCGTTGCTGATGCTATCGAGGAGCATGAATAGCAAGCATGAAAGTTTACAGCATCATGCTTCTCCTACTCTCTGTATCAGCTCTCGACAAAGGTGAGCAGCTTCTGCATCCTCCCAGAGATTGACGGTGCGGTGCTGTAAGACGACAGGGGATCGTTGGAACCTCGAAAGTGCTACCATTGCGGTACTCGATTTGATGATGGTTTGCGATTTGACAGTCAGACAGGCGCAGAGAAGGTCAAGTACGGAGTGACAGCTGCCAGGCTGAGCGAGAATGTCAATCACTCTCAACCTCTCTTCGATCAAGGGAATTCCTCCAACTACGACTGGCTCGCGTTGTTCTGCCGCAGCTGCGCAAAGACGAGGTCTGGATCATTCCATGGGGGGGAACGATGTACTGACATGCAAACATCAGAAGCTACAAGGATGACGTCTGCTTCAGCGCAGCCTTGGAAACCCTCACTAAGAAATGCAGACGATGCTCGTGAGCTGTTTGTTCTACATCCCCCTGCTCTTTGACTGCGGTGCATCCAGACGGCGAGCGAGTTTCGGTAGGGCGGAAGGAGTAGCAAGGCATTGCCGGTCGCATAGGAGTATGGGAGAGATCGATATAGCGTGAGCTGCCTTGCGAGTTGGGGGGGGATGGGGGACTCAAGATTCTTGTCAGGAATCGAGGAAAGCTTTGCATGATGCCCAACTGCACGACCCTCGCACGTTACAGAAAGAAGACAGGGGAGCGACGAAGGTTCTGCTGGATTCATTCCAATCCTGGTAGCGCACTTGAGGTGGCGATCTGATATCGAGCGGCAGTATGACGCTTGTCGCTCAGGCGAGATCAAGATCTCCTCGCAGCAATGCCACCACCCGGAAGGATGCTTGAAATACGTGAACCTCGCCCCTCTCTTTCCGCTTCGCCTCTAACCTCCTTGACCTACAGCCGTCGTTTGGACTGAGCAACGGAAGTGCCTGCTTCTGCAAGTTGCACAAGTCCATCGCACATGTGAACATCCGGAGAAGTATGAAGGAGAAGGATGTAAGCAACACTTCATGGAGGGCGGTGAAGAGCTGAGAGTAAGAGACATCAAAGGTGCGATCGGATCAGCGAGTCACTGATATCAAAGAGGTCTCTCATCAGACTTCGCGCCCCTGACATTGATCGGCGAGCGAGAATGAATCCGCGAGGCTCTTCTATGTACAACATGCCATCTTCTTTTTAGCAAGAATGCCAACATGCGGACAACATGAGAAGACTGAAGGAAAAGGATCCAAGTTGGGCCTATTTTCTCCCGGTACCTTTCTTCTTGCTGCTTGAAAACCTGACAGACGTGTCACCGATGACTATATGATAGGAGGAGGGTTGATGATGATGATGAGAAGGAAGAGAAGATTTAAGAAGAGAGCGAGTGCTCTTACGCTGTAGGCGTCGCGCCGAATCCAGCTCCTGGCACGTTCAGTCTCAACGACCTTGAAATCAAAGAAGGATTTGCGAAAGCAAGCATCAAAGGAGGAGCGCACGCATGCAAAGAAGAGAAAGTTTTCAACCAGTTCCGAAGGTTGAGGCGCCGAGACCCCCGAAGCCCCCGAAGCCCGCTCCTGTGCTCTGACCGGCAGCCCCGAAGCCTCCTCCTGTTGCCCCCCCCAAGGTGCTGCCCCCAAACCCGAACCCTCCTCCTGTTGAGGCCCCTGCTGTTGCGCCTGCCGTCCCAAAGCTGGAGGAGGAGCCGAATCCCCCGACCCCTCCTGTGGAGCCGAATGCTCCTCCAGTCTGGCCGAACCTTCAAAGGAGCATGTCAGCAGAAAGTAATTCTAGGATGCAGCCCATCACGTTGACGCTCCGAAACCTCCCGAAGTTGAAGCGCCGAAGGTCGACGACCCGAAAGTGGAGGCTGTGAACAAGCCTGAGAGAGCGAGAGAGCCCCGATGGAATCGCCGGCAAGGAGACAGGGAGAGAAGAGTGAAGAGGAAGGGAGAGGAACAGGACAGGACGAATAAACATGCTCCTTCACACAGGTTTACCTGTAGACCCTCCGAAGCCTCCGGATGTCGAACCGAAAGCCCCTGATGTCGAACCAAAGGGACCAGCGGCAGCCTGAGCGACAGATTAGTTGAAGGCATTGATGTGGGGGAGAGAAAGAAAGGAGCGTGTACCGTGGGTGCTGCGCCTTGTGCAGCCACTGGTGGCTTCGTGGTTGACTGCACCAGATGTGCGTCTAGTCCGATCGCTTCCTCTAGGTGCGGGCTAGCAGGTAGCATGAGCCAGCAGCTGGGGTTGCGGAGAGAGCCACCTTGCTGACGGGTGGATGATCGGATCCTCCAGGCCGATCTGAATGGAGAAAGCGAAGATAGGCTCGAGAGCGAGCTGCACGTCTCCCTCTGCAAACAGCCTCCTCAAGGTGTTGGCAACCTGTGGAATTCGTGAGCTGGGCTAACTTCAGAGCTGGTGAATGAAACCTGCGAAGACGGGAAGCCAGGCTGATCACCTTCCTCGATGCAGAAGATGACGGCGTTGTCCATAGGATCCACCTGGTAGCAGCAGTCTCGTGAGTATCAACACGTTTGATCGTGTCAAACTTTTGAGCGGCAATGAAGGACGATTGTCAAAGGCAAACAACACGCAACTTCATTCCTGTTCCCCTTGTACTCTCACCTGTAATATCCTGAGCCTCTGCGTCTTAACCGTGACCTGTGCTCCCCACAAGTCAGGAATGCACCTCATGTAGTGAGTGGGTGGCCACCTTATGGGCCAGAGCATCACGGAATCTCTCTTGATTGAATTTCAGTCCAGTCACAGAGACCTTGACATAAGGATCATGTTCACTCGTCAAACTTGACAACCAGCCTCCACCTGCAGTATGACTTTGATCGCCTCACTCTGTGAGAAGACGTCTCTGGCATGAGGGTCGTAGGTTCGAGCAAGGGACATGAACAGCTCCCTGCTCCTCTCCGCCTGCAAGGAAGGTGAGGATCAGGCGTCAACCCCTCCATATGGGGAGGACCTGAGAGTGAAGTGCAGCAACTTTGGCGCTCATCGCGTTCCAGAAGCTTTCTGACTGCCAGAAAACCTGCAACATATATCATAAGACGGGAAGAGTCGTCACCGTCCCATCTCACCTGCTCGATGAGTTCTGGCGGGTACGATGAAGGTCTTGCGATGGAGCCTTCCAGGATCTCCTCCAGGTCAACCATGACGGCCTTTGTCAAGGAAAGTCAAAGCAGTTAGAATACTTCATGAAGTTTGACAACCTCCATCTCGTGACTTGACTCCTCCAGGTCCGATGCGAGGTCAGCAAAATACTGCCAGCAACTTCCCTGCGTCCTTCCACCAACGCCATGGCCCCAGTGTGCAACTAAGGGATTCTTGAGCTGAACACCAAGGGCGAACAGCTACATACCTCCGTGATGATGAAGATTTGAGCGAAGAGTCTGCATGTATCTCGAGTTACGATCAACTTCTTGCTGCAGCTTGTCCAGATGCCTGGTAGGGACGAGCAGTCAGCCGCACAACATCGAGATGCTGACTCCTTGATACCTTCTGTCATACTTGAGCGATGCCTTTAGAGCTGACAACCTATAGAGAGACTGAGAGGGCATGCATGCGATAAAAGATGCGGATACCAATGCCGCAGCCGTGAAGCATTTCTTCGGACGTCTGCTGCCTTGTCATTCAAGCCTGGCAGCTTCGTCAATGACTGGAACTAAACGACTCAAACATCACTCGTCTCCCTATTCGTGTTCGAAGCCTCACGTCCTGAAGGTATGCCATGTAACGAATTCCCTGGTTCCATCGGAATCACCTGTCTGGAATCGTGCTTGTCCATTTTGCCTTCGGTGAAGAATGTCCCAAATTTCCTGGTGCAATGTTAATGACTTCGGGTCACACTTCCAAAAGCAAGGGTGACCTGCGCCTGCTGTTTGCACTCATTTACATGTTTCTGGTGTTGTTTTATCTTGGCCTGGAGAACCAATCAGCATGTTCTCAGCTAGCAGATAAGGTCTACTTGAACAAGAGGCGGCATGTGTTTGAACTGCGTCCTCCATGTGATGTTCTTTGGGGGCTGAGGGCAGAAAAAGTCAATCATGGCTCATGAGCCCTGGTAGAGTTGCCAACCTGCTCTCCATGCGTCTTCCAGGAAGATGCCTGCGCTGCCTGACAAGTCCAACCACATCATATCATTCGCCACACTCCAACAAGAGGAAAAATCCACCTGCGGGTTGGCCATGGCAGCCCCTGGCTGACCCCCGAAGCCCCCGCCGAAGCCCGATCCCCCAGAGCCGAACATTCCAGGAGACGAAGAGGCACCTGTAGTGCCTCCGAACCCGAAGGATCCGAACCCAGGTTTAGCAGCTGTGGACGGAGAGCCGAACCCTCCGAACCCTCCTCCTGTGCTGGGGGCCCCGAAGCCTCCACCCGTATTTGCCCCGAATCCCCCGAAGCCTCCACCCGTATTTGCCCCGAATCCCCCGAAGCCTCCACCCGTGCTCGGAGCACCAAACCCTCCTCCTGTACTCGCTCCGAATCCCCCGAAGCCTCCTCCTGTACTGGGAGCTCCGAAGCCTCCTCCTGTGCTGGGAGCTCCGAAGCCTCCTCCTGTGCTCTGCGTTGCACCAAACCCCCCGAACCCCCCCCCGGTGCTCGGTGCCCCAAAACCTCCTCCTGTACTCGCTCCGAAGCCCCCGAAGCCCCCACCTGTGCTTGGAGCTCCAAACCCTCCTCCTGTGCTCTGAGTGGCACCGAAGGCTCCGAAGCCTGTAGACGTTTGCTGCCCTGTGCTGGCGGATGCGAAAGAAAACGAAGATGAGGACGTCGCTCCCCCGAACCCGAACCCGCCGCCGGTGCTGGACTGGGGCTATGATAGATATAGTGAACAAACCCGTCAGGAGAGCGCAAGAGAATTGAACCTCAACTCACCTTAGAGAACCCGAAATTCATGGTGCTTCTAGTCTCCCTTCAACCGTGCGACGAAAATCCCTTGCTCTTGCTGTGCAATTACCGTCCTAAGGTCTTCACCTAGACATGTAGCGACTAAAGGCAAAGTCAGAGCATTCAATGGCATGCAATCTCTTCCGCAAGCTCCTCCTTGCAAACCCCTCAGCCACTCCCCTCTCCACCTCCACAGTCCTGCATCTTGGTTGACAAGGCTCAAGATTTGAATCTTTATCTTCTTATCTTGTCCGACCCCTGCCAAACAACATCCCCATAGGGCTATCTGCTGTCCAGACATGAGCGTTGCACGGCTTCCATCCTAATCCTACCACTTCCATCCTCTCCTCTCGCTCCCCTCTCGCTCCCCTCTCGCTCCCCTCTCGCTCCCCTCTCGCTCCCCTCCTCTTCCCGCCTGCGTGTCCCGTGCCAGTTAAAAAACGGTTAAAATATCGTTATCGGTTTTGTTCTGTGTAAGGAACATTGATTGGTGATTTGGAAGGAACAAGCTCGAAGAGACAAAGGGCAGCGCCCATGGCAAGCCACTGAATGTAAGAGGAGGGTCAAGAGGAGGAGGAGGAGGAGGTGGTGGTGGTCGAGGAGGTGGAGGAGGTGGAGGAGGTGGTGCAGGAGGAATATGTGGAGGAGGAGGCGGAGGATGTGTTGGTCTTGATGGTGGCGGAGGAGGAGGAAGCGAGGTTTTGGGGCTGGCAATGGGAGAGACAGAGAGACGATGATGAGGGAGGGGTACAAAAATGGAATTGAAAGGCGGGGAATCATGAGCAGCATTGAGAGCAGGACAGTATTTGTGGCTTGAGGTTTCACGACCAGCTGGAAAAGGATGCTGACGACTGTGCAGACAGCTTCTCTTGCCTTCACCCGTGACAGTTGGATCCTGATCTGTACACCGACAGCAGTCAGCAGCACCAACAAGCCATGGCGATGGTGAGTGTTGTAGAGACAAGAATCGAGCTTGCAACTCGTGATGGTCTCGCACAGAGAAATATCTTGGTGTTCTCCATCATCTTCACCGTCGCTGCGCTCCTTGGTCTCATTGTGAGTGCCTCTCCTCCCCGCCGCACAAGTCGCTGAGCATCATGCAGGTCATCAGCCAGCCTCAAGCGCACACGTCCGTTCTCAGAGACGCCGACGACGATGCTTTCTTCGCAGGTTGATGTGGAGGCTCACTGATGAGCTCGGTTCTGATCGATGAGTATGTGGAGCAGGGTCGCGCGAGCTCGCTCGGCAGGGGGATCGGGACATGAAGAGGAGTGGGCAGGCGATGGACTCAGGGTACCTGGTGTTTGTTCTTGATGCCTCGATGACTCTCAATACTCAGAGACGTCCGACTGGCCATGTCGTTGAGCAAGGATGCTGCCCGGTCAGTCTCTGATATCTTGTTGGCACCTGGGTTACTGGAGTTGCAGCGCATATCATAAGGCACTTGCCGACCGACGATACCGCACTGCGATGGCCGTGCAGAAGGAGCTGCAGGAGGCGCTCAAAGTACGAGCCTGCCTCAGGCAGTCAGAGGATGATGTCTGACGGCCCGGCATCAGGCGAAGGAGACGGAGAAGATCGAAAGGATGGACAACATGCTGGAGAGAGCGGAAAAGATCAGAGACGCTGCTGTGAGACGCGCTAACGCCTTGAAGGAGCATGTATGTTGTTTCATCTGTCCTCCTTCGTTCAGCAACCCTCTGCCAGCCTTGCCCTCTGACTGTTATCCTCAAACTCCTTGAGAAATGCGCAGTTGTTGATCTTCCTGCAGATCACACCTTCTACCATCCTCCAAACCTCAGATCATGAAATGCCGGCCAAGGGTACAAATGCATGAGAGCTGCGATATGAGAATCATGACGACTTCTTTCAGACAAGTTGTCTGCTCAGATAAAGCTGTTGATGAAGAATCAAAAGCTCATTGGTATCAAACCAACTCAATTGGATGAGGATCAATCCGATTCTAGCCAACCTGTGCCCAAAGTGTTGGATTGGTATGCATTCTCAAGCTATGCTGACCTATATCTGATTTCCGTCGTCTAGTGGACCATTGGCGAATGATTGCAACACCAAGCAAGGAGGAGAGTATTACATCCACAAGCAGGGCAAGACCCAGCAGGATCAGCCTCAAGCATCGAAGTCTGAAACCTCCGAAGCGAAGGCCGATGGGTCTCGAGTCTCGATGCTCTCTGCGACTTCTCGTCGCCCCAAGAGCTTTTTCAGCGGCTTCAAGTTGTTGAAGCACGTGAGCGCAGCAGAGCGACAGCATCAACGTGAAGCTCTTCTGAGCCCCAAGACCTCGCAAGGCAACTCCGATCAGTTCCTCAAGTCCCTCGCCACTGGTTTCCTCACGCCTCGCGCACATACAAGCTCGAAGGGAATGAGGGCGATGAGAGGGCAAGAGCTGTACGAGGGCTCCAAGAAGGTGAGGCGTCGGTGATGAGGCGGGTCCCCTGTAATCCTCCGCAGCTTTCGGTCCTCGCGCAGATGAACGACCTCGACGTCGAACAGGCGAAGCTGAACAAGTAGGAGACGATCGGCAGCTTGTCTTGAGCTGACCAGCCGCTGCAGGCAACGAGAAGATCTCATCCGATCCCACCTGAGTTCCGCCAAGGATCAGTGAGCGACTCATCGATCTCGCGGGAGCTGCTGACGTCTTCATTCAGCACGATCCTGGTGGATCGCATGGTGATGCAGTGGGTTCCTCGCGGAATGCTCGCCATCCCTTCCTCGCTCAGCTTCACTCCCGTCGACGCTTCGGAGAAGTCCAACGTGAAGGCAGAGGATGCCAACAAGATTCGCGTCGCTGCCTCGGGAGTGTCCCTGGAGGAAGCGTTAGGGGAGGTGAACAAGCAGCAGGTGGCCATTAACAAGAACCGCCTGGTGACTTTGCGCTGCTGGGGATGCCATCAGGGTCTGACTAGCTGCCTATCAGGTCCTGATGCAGCAGATTCACACGTCCAACCCGAACACGCTCATTGAGGAGGCGGCAAAGGCGGGAGAGGCAGTTCCAGTTCTAGTCCAGCTGCCCTCGACTCCTGAGGTACCTTGACGAGCCTGAGGCTGCTGGATGAGTTTGAATGTGCAGGACAAGGCGAAGGATCTGAAGAGGAAGCTGTTCAAGAATCACTTCGACGAAGCGACCAAAGCCTTCGAGGTGCTTGTTCATGACAACAGCGAAAGCGCATCGGCTCATCTCCTCGGCAGGCCGCAAACAGCGCCTTCAAGGTTGCAGCGAAGGGGGGAGCCGCAAATCCAGTGGTGGGCAAGACTGAAGTGAGCAAGGAGAGTCACAAGGCCGAGACTGTCGCTGCTGTGCCTGTGGCTGCAGCTGCTCCTGCTGCCGTCAAGAAGTCTCATGTAGTCCAGTCGGCCTTGCCGCAGGAGCCCAAGAAGGTCCAGACAGAGGAGAAGAAGCCCGAGGAGGAGCATGCGGCTAAAAGCGCAGAGAGCATCAAGAAGTCTTCGAAAGCTGAAGAAACTCAGGAGAAGAAAAAAGGGCTGGTCACGTACGATGCGGTGAAGGCTGCTCAAGATCTCACCGGGTGAGGCATCGATGTCGCCATGCTCGCCCTCCACCTGCTCATCTCGTGGGTTCAGGTTCTTCGATGACCTCATCGCTAAGAGAGTCGCTGTTGGAGGGGTACGGCCTCCTACAGTTTCCTCCTCTCCTGCCTCTCCTGCCAGCCAGCCTGCTCGCTCCCTCGCTCCCTCGCTCCCTCCGTTCCCTGCTCACAGCGACGCAGGGCCACAAGTCCTCGCAGGCTGAAAAGACTCACAAGCATCAACTCTCTGGGCTCGAGCTGGAGAGGAAGGTGAGCAGCGTCTCGCGCATGCTTGTCTGCACCTCACAGGAAGAGCAGAAGGAGGACGATCTCATCTCGAAGCAAGAGCAGGAGGACATCAGTGGTGAGGCTGCAGGGAGATTCTTGCTTCGGCTCTGACGAGGATGGGTCAGTGGCGCAGCTGGAGAAGGAGCGGCAGTACGTGATCAAGAGCGGGCAGCCAGCGGCATACGTGGGGAACGAGCTCAAGGTGAGAGGAGGATCGGGAAGATGGAAGGAAGGAGAGAAGATGAGACGAGAAAAGGGAGCAGATTGAGCGTTGCAGGGGATGAGGTTGTGAGAGGGGGTGAGGGGACCGAGCCGGGTCAAGATCTTCCAGCTGTTGATTGTTGATGCTGCAGCACAAATCTGCGGAGGAGTCCAGGAAAGAGCTCAATGACTTCTATAACAGTCTCTCGCACTAAGGACGAGAAGTGGGTCAGGATCGTGCCATTACTAGGAGACACTGCTGAGGCTGTAAAGCGTTTCAGCTCGTCTCAGCTTAACTTTAGAAACATCCAGTGAAAGTTTGCTACTTCTAACTGTGATCATCCGATCAGAGTCCGATCATCCGACTCAGAGTCCGATCATCCGATCAGAGGAGTCCGGCTCAGGCAAACTTTGAAAAGTTTGACTCGACTCTGTCGGAGTGATGATCCTTTAAAAGTTGGCAGCGGCCCTCGGCCGTCCTGCGCCGTGCCGCGATAACGCTATGTCCGTCCCGTACGCAGTGGTACGGTCCTTTGACCGGGGTTCCACTCAGTATTGCCCCGGCACTGGCAAAATTTTTGCAGACTGCGGCAAAATTTTTGCAGACTGCGGGAGGTAGCGGACCTTAAAAAGGAACCGTTGGTTACCACCACACGGACTCGAACCGTGAATCTCCTGCTCCGTAGGCAGGCGCCTTGTCCATTGGGCCATGGCGGCTTACCTACCTCGTGGAGTGCTGGTATAAGAATGACGCCATGCAGCAGTGGATGGCACGGGAAGAGGTGGAGGGAGAGACAAGGGATGGAAACGAGAGGAGACAACGGTGTAGGAAGTGAAGGGCAGGACAAGTACAGCGGGAGAGGGAGGATAGGGACACTTGAGCTTTTTCATATCAGCAAGTTAGAAGAGAAATGGATGTTGCTGCTAGCAAGGCTACTTTTAGCAGGAGAGATTTTGAGGGAGGGTATGGAGATCGGGAGGGGCGGGTAAAGTAGAGATGAGGACATATGAAATAGCGAGTAAGCTTGTAGCTCTCTTGAGTGGGTCAGTGAGTCAGTGAGATGTATGACTTCAAACAAATATGTTTTGTTCTGATTGTTGGGAACAGGCGAAGTCGTTTATGAAACCTGCTGTACCTGCTCTGCTATTCATTGACCACCTCTTCTCCTGCTATACCAGACGCGTTCACTCTGCCGTTCAGATGAAGAGGATTTCTTACCAGGTAGGAAGCGGAAAGGTCGCCATATCCCAAGGAGACATCACCAAGTTCAAAGGCGACGCCATCGTCAACGCAGCCAACGAGCGCTGTCTAGGAGGAGGAGGGGTAGACGGAGCGATCCATCGAGCAGCAGGGGAGGAGCTGTACCAGGCCTGCCTGAAGCTCGAAGAGGTGGAGGAGGGGGTGCGATGCCCGACCGGTCAAGCCGTCATAACTCCGGGGTTCAAGCTCGACGCTAAGAACGTCATCCATACCGTAGGGCCCAACCTTTCCGGGAGAGAGGACGTGGGCAGGGCAGCGACGGACGACACGCTCCTCGAGTCCGCCTACCGCTCAAGCTTGCAGCTCGCCAACGAGGTCTTGACGTCTCCTCCTCGTTACTCGGCTGAGCCTTCCCCTGCAGCATAACCTCAAGAGCATCGCCTTCCCGGCTATCAGCTGTGGGGTCTTCGCCTACCCTGTGAAAGAAGCAGGAACGCTCTCTCACTTGTACTCGATGCGGCTGTTGGTGACGCTTGAGCAGCTGACAAGGCCATGAAGACAACCAAGGAGTACATAGGCAACTTGTCGCTGGTTGAGTTTGTTATGTTCGACAAGGTTTGTTGTGTCTGTGATGCTGCGATCTCCCTTGAGAAAGCCTTTAGGACAAGTATCTTGCGTTCAAGTCAGCAGCAGATGACGTCTTTGAATCGAAGGCGGAGGATGATGAGTTGTAAAGGCACACTGAACTTAGAACATCGTTTTACCCACATTGACTATAACCTGATAGAAATGAAACAACATCACATCGCCTTGACAAACATCATATCAATACAACATAAACATTCAACATAACCTCAACATAACTTCTCACAAAGAGTCTCGTCGCCTCTTCATCCCCCGACCCGACTGTTATCTTCATATCAATTCTCACGAGATCGCTGGATTGCCTCTTGTAGCTCCCTCTTGAGATCGTCAGAGAGGTGCTGAATTCTTTCATCCCCCGCCACTCTGATCTGATTCAGTTCGTCCTATTCAGCACAGTAGACGTCAGCATCCCCCTTCCCCCGAACCGTCTCCCCTCCTGCACCTGAATCTTTGATAGAGATTCGCTGAAGAAGTTTGCTCCGAAGACGTGTCTTGCTGATCTTCTTGTTTCCCTTGCTGGGAGATGAAGTGATTTTGATCGCGGATTTGCTCGATAGATCGTTTCATGTGTTTCTCGAAGGTTTGCAAGGAGTCATACCTGACAAAAGTCACCTTTTGCTCGCTGCCATGGCGATTGCCACTTACAACAAGCTGATGTCTTCATTGCGGTAAGCGAGCAGCTCTGCGCATTCTTGCCTTCGGATCGTCACCTGGTGATCGCCACAACATCTGAGTCAAAGCTCGTTGCACGCGCTGTGCTCTACCTCCTGGTCAAGCTTGCATGTTTCAGATCGCAAATCTTCCAGTTCCATGGAGATCTGAGGAATCATCAGAGTTCTCCTTTATGTTGCTTGTTGAGATGTACAGCTCTGAATGCGTCTTCTACAACTTTCTGTTTGTTCTTGAGCTCCGCAACCGTCGCTTTGGTCTCCTGGAAACCAACGCATCTTTCAATTTCACAACGGCATGTCATACGGGTGCCCTACCTCGTCCAGCAACGAAATTTTCCTCGACGCCAACGAGTCGACGAGGGAGTTATATGAGATCTATGGGACGTGGGAAACATCAACGTTGACATCAGGCGTCGCAGCCACAAACCTCATTCTTCTGCTCAAACTCTCTCGCATTGGATCTGTTCGCACTTCATTCGCACATCAAGAAACTGTTTACCTTCTCACTGCATGTCTTCAATCTCCTTAAAGTTGATCCTCATCTCCTCCAGGACCGCATCGAAACTTTTCCAGAGCAATTAGACCAGCAAACTTCAATGCGCGGATCGCAATTCGATCCCAAACTCACTGTCGAAGTCTGCTGGACAATTTCTCATCTGCAAGCATGACGATCTCGTTGCACTGTTCCCCATGTCACTTGCCAACAACCATCACCATCTGTCTTTCCTTCTTTTCAAGACGGCTGTGCGCACTTTCTTGCTGGAAATCAGGCTGAAGAAACATGCATGACAATACGGCACACTGCGCATTCAGAAGTTAGCAAAACCTTGTAGTTGAGCCTCAGGGTCTGCCGGAGCTCGTGGATCTGCTTCATTAATTCTACGAAGCAGTCAGAGCCACGGGTCTCATACCTGCCAATACTTACCCTCCTTCTCTAACCTGGATAGTTCGACCTCCCTTCGCAAACTGGCTCAAAGATTCAGCAAGACATTCATCAGGTCCCATCAAGGCAAGTTCGAATCACTTTCGAGTTTCATCCCGGTACTTCTTGATATCATGCGTATTCTCTTGCAGAACTGACTTGATCTGCATTCACTCCTTGTCAACAACCAAGGGCACGGCACATATTGCTTGTGACCTCTATGATCTCGTTCAGCAGGGAGTTGGAAACCATCTCCAACGAGACGCGCAGCTCTCTCAACTTGTATCATCCAGAAACTTCAGACAAGGAGGAAATAGCTGGAGCTCAACGCAACCCCACCTCCTCGTTCTCCACTTTCACCCTCTGGCCAAGAAAAGGGTTCAGAGCTCAGTGAGTGAGAAAGTTAAACGAGCTGACGTCTTCCAACGAGTCTTCTTCATGGACAAGTGGTGGCCCTTGCTCGTTACAATCTTCTCTCGAAGTCCTGATGGAACCAACCGCATCACAGGAGAAGATGGATGCATCAGGTTGCAACCTGTGCTTCTTTGCACTCGTTGACCGCTTCCTCACTGTCTTGGTTCTACGAGGATTGTCATTCAAAACACAGCAGCAGAGAAAGAGATTGAAACCTGTCTGGCATATCCCGGAATCTAAAACGCAATAAGTCAGAGATATCAAGTCAGGTAAAGGGGGAGTACAGCTTGGTTCCAGGAACAAGCCGTTATCGTTCTTCCTCTACGCACCCGACCTCTCTCCATCAGGCATACAACCAAACTCGTGGACTTCTCTTGTTTATTCTATGATCAAGAAGAGGAAACGACTCCCATCACCCCATCTTCTTCTATTCCTTCACATCGCTCCGATCCTCAACTAGGATTCTATTGACCTTCCATTCCGCGTTCTCATCCTAGGTTGTCCTCCTTCTGCCCTCTTGTACCCTTCAGACATTCATCCTCTCCTTCTCCTTCTCCTCTTCCCTCCTCTCCTCTCCTCCCCTCCCCTCCTCTCCTCCTCCTATCTCACCTGCTCTCTCTCCCGCCATGTCGCCCCTCCTCTTTCCTGAGCGCCATTGGAATTGGGGAATATACCCCTTGCCCTGTGTCCTACCCTCACACCCTACCCCCTCGCCACCACTCCTCTAATTGTATTTATGGCCAAACAATCTTTTGATAGGCTTCCTCCCCCCCTACCTCATTTTTCCTTTATCTCATTCGATCAATCGATGGAAGTAGGTATATATCCAGGAGATTGACCCATCACAGTCACCTCTACCCCCAGATTTCCTTCTGGACCCGTGGTCGTACCTCTATCGGGAGTGACGACCCCTACATTTCCTGGAGGAAGCGACTGCTATGCGGCTTAATGCGCGGAGCGAAGGTGAGCATGGCAACCAGTACACACAGCATCGACCCTCTCCTCCTCTCATCACTCCCTCCCTCCTCCCCTCCTGCCTGATTCTTTCCATGCATCATCGGCGCTGTCTGCCTACCCGTGTTCTCCCTCCTTCCCCCGCCTTCACGTCGAATCCACCTTCACTTGCTTCGTATCTTTCCACTGACTTGCCAACACCCACCTGCTTGTGTCTCCTTTTCTGCATGTTGAGGCCATTCTTTCCTCTCCTTCTCGAGCGGCTCTGCCACTTTCCCGTCACATGCTGACGTAGAGATCCCACATCCTTTGTTCATAGAACCTTGTTCTCCTTCGTTTCGATCAGGTTGACTTCTCTGCTCTCCACTGACAGCATGCAGCAGGACGTTCACAACAGGTCCCTGCCTCCTTCTCTTGATTCCTTCAGAACAGCAGCAGCATCTCCTCCTCTCCTCCCTCTCCCCTCCACCTGATTTCTCTCCTCCCCCATTATGGCGCTGCGAAGCCCCCACATGAAGCCGCAGCGTAGCGATCTCGATGGCGACCATCTCTCCTCCATCAACCGCAGCTACTTCGACACCGGCATCATGGACGAGCCTCCCCTCCCAGCTGTCGACGAGCAGACTCCCCTTCTGATCCCTCCAACCACGGAGTGGAACCTGGACCTGGATGACTACTACGAGACGGGGAGCCTCTGCGGTGACCGGCGCTCGCTCAGCTTCCTCAACCTCATCGGCATCATGTACTTTGCGGTCTCTGGAGGGCCGGAAGGGACGGAGGGGATCATCTCAGCTGGGGGGCCCAAGTTCGCCCTGCTGGGGATAGCAGCGACCTCCGTCCTCTGGAGCATGCCTATCGCGCTGCTGTCGGCCGAGATGGTCACGGCGGTGCCGCAGAATGGCGGGCCCATGGTGTGGTCGAGAGCAGCATTCGGAGCAGGGACGGCGATGGGAGACTTCGTGGCCTTCCTGGCTGGCTGGCTGTCGTTCCTATTCACTGCCGTTGACGCTGCCTTGTACCCGAGCATGTTCATGAGCTACTTGGTGGCAGGTACGGGGATCGCCCTGACCCCGGTCCACATCACCTTCGGCAAGCTGCTGTTCGTTGCTGCGCTCACAGCTCACAACGTAGCTGGAGTCGAGTCCGTGGGAGCCAGCTCCTCGGTCATGATCATCGCCTTGCTCGCTCCCTTCGTCGCCTTCATATTCGTTGCCTTCACGGGAGTGGCTGGATGGGCTTTCAGCCCTGGGAACTGGCTCGTTGGAGCTCTCACCCCCTCCTCTGCCGTCGACTACACCGTGCTCCTCCTCTGGAATATGGGGATGTGGGAGTCTGCAGCCTCCTGCGCAGGAGAGGTCCAGAACCCTTCCAAGACCTTTCCTCGAGCCCTGGCTGCTGTTCTCTTCCTAGTTGTCCTCAACTACGCCTTGCCCATCATGGCCTTTACAGGGGTGGACGACAATTATGACAAGTACGTCAACGGATACTACGTCAAGATCGCAACGCAGGTAGGCGGCAAGGCGTTCGGCTCGGCGCTGGCGCTAGGGCAGTGTATCAGCACGATCGGGCTGTTCAGCAACAGTGTGGTGAAGAATTCTTATCTGCTGTGTGGGATGGGAGAGCAGACTCTCCTCCCCAAGCTCTTTTCCGATCGATGGTCTGTTACCAACGCCCCCATCTTCTCCATCGCTGCCTCCTCCCTGGTCACAGTGATCATGGTCATGCTGGATAGCTTTTCTGTCGTACTGGTAGAGACTTTTTCTGCCTCTCTCCTGCCTCTCTCCTGCCTCTCTTCTGCCTCTCTCCTCCTTATCAATCATTCTCAGCTACCCTGCCCGCTCATTAGCCCGCCTTCCTGCCTCCTGCCTCCTCTCAGCCTCTTCCCTACTGTGCTGCTGTCTTCTCCTTCCTCAGTTCCGAGACTTGTGGTTCGTTTGCATCAACTTGGACTGACTATGAAGATGTCAGAGCATCGACATGATGTTGTACTCCATGGTGTTGATGATAGAAATTGCAGCGTTCATGTAATTTCTCCTCTCCTCCCTTGCCCTCTCATCTTCTCCCCCTCCCTTCTCTTCTTCCCTTCTCTTCTTTTCTTCCCTTCACCTCTCCCCCAACGTCCCTCCCTCTCCTCTCCCTCTCCCCTCTCCTCTCCTCTCCCTCTCCCTCTCCCTCTCCCTCTCCCTCTCCCTCTCCCCTCTCCCCTCTCCCCCCTTTCCTCTCCCCTCTCCCTCTCCCTCTCCCTCTCCCTCTCCCTCTCCCTCTCCCCTCTCTCTTTCCCTTCCGTTCTTTCTCACGCAGCTTCCTCAGCAAACTCCGATATTCTTTCCCCGACTTGCAAAGAGGGTACAAGATTCCCATCAGCGGGCCTTGGCTCTTCATCTTCTTCACCCCCGTCATTGCCTTCGGTATTCTTCTCATCTGCACAACGAGCCTCCAGGTGAACCTCAGGATCTGAAAGTTTCATCGGTCACTGTTGAGGTTCTGCTTTCAACTCACTTGCCCTTGGTGTCTCCAGGGCATTTTGCTCGTCGCTTTTCTTATCCTGATTGGTGTTATGCTCTTTTCCGGCTTGTGGATTTACAGACAACAATCCCCGACAGTTTTCCAGCAAGTACGTCCCAGGCCCTGCTCCCAGTCATAGTCCTCTGCTCTGCTCTGCTCTGCTCTGCTCTGCTCTGCTCTGCTCTGCTCTGCTCTGCTCTGCTCTGCTCTGCTCTGCTCTGCTCTGCTCTGCTCTGCTCTGCTCTCCTATCCGGGTTCTCCTCCATAAATGGTTCCCCCACCAGGCACCATCAGAAGTTCCCGAGATTCTCGAGTCTCCTGCCTGCTCTCGGCTTGGGACTCCAGCGCCTTCGCATCAAGGCTCCTCCTATCGGTTCGTTCCTTTCTTCTCTTCCTCCTACTCTCATTCTCCTCCTTTCCTTTCCTGCAGTCTCTGCCCCCCTCCTCCCCCTTTCCCCATCTGCTCCTTCTGTTTTCATATGTTTCTCGATCCCTCTGAGCGATTTTGAGCAGCGAGTCCGCCCAGCATTCTTCCGTACGGTCAGGTCAAGGCTCAGCGCAGGTGACTGACTTTGACTTCTCTTCTCCCCTTCTTCTCCTCACGTCTCTGTGTCCTGCTCCTCCCTTGCTCCTCTCGTCACCTTGTCCTCCTGCTCCTCCTGCTCCTCCTGCTCCTCCTGCTCCTCCTGCTCCTCCTGCTCATGTCCCTCTCCCTCCAGGGCGAGTACGACACACACTGGGACGCGAGCTGGGACCATCCGCTCTACCAAGGTGCCTCCCTGCGATCCTCTTGACCGAAGCAGCTTGCTGATGACTGGCAGGACGCGATGCGATCACTGGTTTGTAGGAGGGGAGGATCAGCAGAACGCGATGGCAACAAGAAGAGAATAAGAGTTTCAGTATTTTTCTTGTATGGAATAGACTGTGATGTGAATTATGTCAGATCAAGCCGGAAGATATCTTTCCAGAGCTTGTAGCATCTTCTGTTCCTGTTCCATTGATTTGTTTTCATACTCCGACCTGTCCAAGTCATTGTCACTGTCATGAACATCATCATCATCATCATCATCATCATCATCATCATCATCATCATCATCATCATCACCACCACCACCACCACTACCACTACCTCCTCCTAAATCAAGAATCTGAACACATTGTCATCATCATCATCGTCATCATCATCATCATCGTCATCGTCATCGTCATTGTCATCATCGTCATCATCATCGTCATTTTTCCAACTCTTACCTCACTCGTTGTATGTGGCTTCTTACCAGCTGCTCAAACTCTGTCTGTCTTGCAACACAACTAGTCAACCTGTGCTGCAGTGACATGATCTGCCTGTCCCGCGCTGCAATGTCCGACTGATACTGTTTGATCGACTTTGCCGCACGCACGAGCTGCTTCTTGTATTCATCGCGATTCTTCTTCACCAGCATCAGCTCTATCTTGGACTTTTTCAGCTCGTGCCGCAGCATTTCCTTCTCCCCCTCGGTATCTGTCATGATCGGCGAAACTCCATGGCAGTCCATGACCTGGGGAGCATGAGAAGGAGAGTGGCGGAGGGAAACAGGGAAGGGAGGGGAAGGAGGGGAGGGAGGGGAGGGGAGGAGAGAAACAGGTGGAAGCTGCGTCTAACGAAGGAAGGAAGGAGGGGAGGGGAGGGGAGGGGAGGGGAGGGAGAGAAACAGGTGGAAACTGCGTCTAACGAAGGGGGAGGAGGCAATACTGGAATGTATCACCACAAGAGGCCTGCATCATGTCGAGACGCAACAGGGCGTGTAAAAGCAATCTTGCTATCAAGGGGGACAGGAAGAGGAAGAGGATACGAATGAATATAAGGCATTCAAGACAGCTGTACCGTATTTCTCGCTCCTCCTCCTCCTCCTCCTCCTCCTCCTCCTCCTCTTCCTCTCGCTCCTCCTCGTTGTCCTTCTTGCTCCTTGAGCCTGTTCATGGGGGAACAGCCGATCACGCACACTCAGCAATCGTCACGAACTCACTGCAATCCAGCTCGAGACGAGCTCATGTCAAGTCTTGCCAGCTGTCGGTCCATCTGAGAGATCTGGTGGGACAGTCTGAGCATCATCTCCTCAAGAACTTCAGCATCGTCCGACTGCGACGAGCCGAGGGAGCCGAGCATGTCCTGCTCGGACTGACTGCCGTCCTGGTGGTCGAGCAAGGAGCCTGGTCGGTGCATCTGCAGAGAGAGGTCACGAGGATGCGAGCCGGTCTGTGAGTGTTTCTCACTGACCCGAGAAGCTATCACCTCCTCCTCCTCTCCTTCCGCCCCCCGCCCCCCCCCCCCCCTCGGCCTTCCTCCCTTCATCTTTCTCACGCTCCTCTTCCTCCTGCTCTCTCTTGACTACTTTCTTTTGGTTGTGACAGGTACTAGCAGCGCTCATGTCTCGGATTCCGGCTCTCGTCGCTTCCTTCCCCACCCCCTCCCCTCCTCTCTCCGTCCTCCCCCCTCCCATGGATCGCGTTGCTGCCGGTGCGAGGGGCAGGGGAAGAACGTCGAGGGAGGGGAGGCGGGGGGAAGGAAATGGGAAAAAAATGAGGAAAAATGGACTTGATGAGTGAGGAGGAAGGAGGCGAGTGAAGGAAAGGAACGCAAGACAGGCAGAGGAGGAAGAAGCTTGGAGGGGAGGCTGCGAGGAGGAAAAGATGGCAACAGTCAAGTGCGCTGTCGGGACGTGGACGGAGGATGCAGAAGGATGTGGGAATCAAGGCAAGTGACGTGTTCTTCGTCTCTTTCTAACGTAACAGGCTCCTCAGCGGCCAGCTCGCCAGCCTCAGCGTCTTGAGGGGGAGAGAAGCGATAGCAAGCAGGCTGCCAGCAAGCCTCTCTAGGGGAGTCTCATGTAGCCTGCGCAGAACTTCCTCCTCCTTCAACTGACATCCCTGCAGGTCTTCGAAGACTCTGTTCCCGCCCCTCCTCTCGGGCTCATCCCACATCCTTGACAGGCCCTGCACTAGCCCGTCCTCCATCTTCAGCAGATGCCCCCGCCCTCCTCCCTTGCCGGCGCTCTTCATCGTCAGGAACCCTGTCCCCTGGCTGTTGTCGGGGCTCTCAGCGTCGAGGAACCTGGACGCGAGTCAGGAGAACGGTTCCCTCCCTCCGCTCCTCCTCCACCTGCTCAACCAGATCGATCTTCTCCTTCGCGGATACAACCTCACGTCCACACTCCTCCTGCAGCAGACCGTCACCCTCGCACGCCCCGCTTCTGCTCAGCTCGTACCGAGCTGGGATCTTGGCAAACTTCTTTGCGGCATCGATCGCCGCATGGATTCCTCCTGCAGGGTCATGTCAGCACACACAGCAACAGAGCAGACCTCCTGCACCGAGTTCATCCACCAGCCCTCGCTCTTTAGCCTGTCCCGAACCTTTAGTCTCGTCCTACAACAGGTTGTACGGGTACCTCTTGCCCCGTCCACACTCGCCCTCCTGCGATCAACCGAACGGTCTGCAGCTCCACAGCTGACACGTTGGAGGGATCAAAGCTCGCAGCCAGGTTCCGCTCCTCCTCTTCGCTCGAGCGCTTCATCGTCAGCCATCGCAGCACATTGCTCACGACGTTCACAGCCTTCGCCTCTGCTCGCCGCGATCCGTCAACATCACACGGACTTTCGTCGTGACGCCTCACCTGCTTTCTCAGCTTGACTGCAGACTCTCAGCACGGAGAGAGCTGACGCTTCCTCCCTCAGCCGACGCACGTGGTCGAGCTTCTCCTTCTGCAAGTTTGATACTCACGCAAGCACAAGGCAGAGCTGGGAAACGTACGAGCCCAATGGACGCCAGCTGCTCCAGCCCACAGAAGTTCACGACGCTGGCAGAGCTGAGCTGCAGCTGGATGTTCTTCTCCACGAGGTCCGCCCTTGCCTTCAACACCGCTGTTCCTCGTCCCAGTGCGACCTTGGACAGGAAGTCCTTGTACGTCCGATCTAGAGACTCCTCGAACACTTTCCTGCGGGTCAAAGTTTAACAGGGAGCTGGAAGGCAGCTGGAGATGGCGCGCACCTCTCCTCCTCCGAGAAGGGACGAAGCGAGCTCTCCATGGCCGCAAACTTGCCCAACGTGATGCTGTCGTGAGTCACTCCGATCAGGTCGGCGAAGAAGCTCCCTAGGACCATCTTCCCGCTCAGCACTCCTATAGACCCTGTTATGGTCCCTTCCTGGGCTATGATTGTGTTGGCAGGGGCGCTGATGAAGTAGCCGCCCGACGCTGCCATGCTGCCCATGCTCACCACCACTGGGATCCCCTTGGCACGGATCAGCATGATCTCCCTCCACATGGTGTCGCTCGCCAGGGCTGAACCTCCCGGGGAGTCAACGCGAATGATCACAGCCTTCACCTTCCTGCTCGTCCCGTCAAGGGTGACGTAGAGAGAGGGAGAGGGAGAGGGGGAGGGGAAGGGGAAGGGGGAGGGGGAGGGGGGTGGAGAGGGGAAGAGGGAGAGGGGGAGGGGGAGGGCATCGTTCTACCTGTCGCCGCGCACTTCTCTCAGCGTGCGACAGAGCGAGTCAGCGCCGACGGAGGAGGAGGAGCTCTCTCCACAGATGATATCCCCGCAGGCATGCACAAAGGCGATGCGAGGCTTCAAGCCGTCCAGGAGCCGCTTGAAGAGACTGGTGTCAACCCGATCCGCGTACTTGTGGACGTACAGGAGAGAGGAGTCGTTGTCCGGCACCATCAGGCCCAAGAACCTCATGGCGGAGGAGAGGAAAGCTCTGAAAATGCCCGGCTGTTCCTCCTGCTTATCGTACTTGGGCGACAGAGTCCACGGGACGAGCTTCAGCTTCTTCATGACTTCGTCTGTGTTGACCTTGGCCTGGCTGTGCTTCAGGTAGCTCTTGATCAGGGTGTAGAGAGAGTCCCGGTCGCACGCGTGCGAGTTCTTCCACCCGTTGGCCGGGTGATTGCAAGGGAACTTCAGCTGCAAGACTTCCGTATCGTTAGAGAAGAAGATCTTCAGCTCGTCTCTTGACCTCTTCTCGACTTTTGACAAGAGGTTGACTGGCCTCGACCATTCCCGACGGCTACCGCGAACGGTCAGCGCGTCGTCATCGAGCTGCAAGCTGCCGTTCAACCAGCTACAAAATCTTTCTTCCTGATCGCCCCCAGCAAGGCAGATGTCCCCGAACTTGTTATTGAACAGCATGGACGCATTGCAGTGAAACTTCATCGACTTCCAGTGAGGAACGACACAAGCAGGTCCTTCCTTTGCCAGCTTCCTCACCGCATTGTAGACTCCGTCACGGTACAGGAGAGCATCGACCAGCCCTGCATCCAGCGCGTCTGCAGCGAACATGGGAGGCTTGTCGATAATGCTCTTGAGTTGGGCCACGGAGATGTTGCGAGATTCGGAGATTCCGCCCGTCAGTTGTTCGTACCAGGACTGCAGCAGAGAGTTCAGGTTCTCCCTCTGCTCTCGTGTGAACCGTTTTTCGGTGTAACTGTTCATCGCGCTCTTGTATTCTTCTCTCCCTCCAAACTGCGGAAGAATCTGCGGGCAACTGGTGAGGCACCTTTGAGGTGGAAAGGGGACACAACAAACCTTGAGCCGATCCAGCAGCTCTCGGTAGAAGGAGACTTCTATGTTGAATCCCGACAGGGACAAAGACCCTGAAGGCTGCAAGAACACAAGCTGACAGCTGCATGCGAGGAGGTAGTCCAGGTTTCCTCTTCCTCCCTCTGGAAAACTTTCTGCCCAGGCAACGGCGATCTTTCCATGGGATCGGAACCTAATGATCGCATCTCGCAACTCTTGGACAGTCGCAAAATCAAACCCTGTCTTTCTCGCTGACTCAGCAGGAATATGTACGATGATCCCCTTTACTCGTCTGTCTGTAGCCGCACGATCCAACGCTTGTACGATCCCTCGCACAGAGATGGCGGGCTCATCGAGGTACTGAAGAGCCTCGAAGTACGACTCGATCTCGACTTCTCCACTGGTGACCCGAATCTTGAGGAGGGCAAATCAGTTCATCTCCAACAAGACGTCCCTCCCTCCCCCTCTCACCTTTCCAAGGTCAATCTCAAGGATGCAGCTCTTCGGGATCCTTTTGGACTTGAGGGTCTCGATGGCCGTGTCGATGAGCATCATCGTCAGGAACGGTCGGCGCAGAGCAAACGAGAGGATCTGTGCGAGGACATCATCACAGATGTTGTAGAAGCATGCGCGTTCCCCACCTGCATCGGGAGATTGTTCTCGCCCTCCTCGTCGTCCTCCCCATCCTCCTCTTGTTTCGCCGGAGGTTGTTGCTTGCTGTGCTGGACTTCATTCTCCTTGGGTGCAACTTCAGGCTTCTTGGTCGTGTCCTTCCCCTCGCTCTGAAGCTGCTGCCGGATCAGACTCCTGATAGCTTGCAACCGCTCATCCTTCACAGGTTTCGCAGCTTGATCTGCCTTTTCATTCTCCTTGGCCTTCTCCTTGGCATCCTGCTCTTCAGGAGCAGCTTGCGAGCTCCCTTCACCCGTCTCGGTGTCCTCAGGGACCGCATCAGAATGGCTTGCAGCAGAAGCTACTGAAGTGTTTGTCTTTCCTCCCTCCCTCGCCATCCCCTGCGCGCCCAATCGCATGCCCTGCAATGCCCAAGGATGTCTCAGTCCCAGTCTCACTCGTTTCACGTTCCTCGTCACCTTCAACGCATTCTGGAGCAGACCGACCGGACTCTGGCCGTCGTCTTGCCCTCCCCGAAGGCCTGAAACATAGTCGTCATCCTGAAAGTCTCAATCGGAACATAGGTAGAAACCTGGCCTTTGGTATGCAAGCAAACTCCTTGCGCGGGGGCCGTTGAAGAAGGAAGATGGTATGTCTAAACAACCATGTCTCAGATTTTTCGCCCCAGATATCGCCATGCTTACCTCTCTGCAACCAATTTCTCCCATGCTCACATTCCACCAAAGAAAGTGCCAGGACGAGGAAGAGCGCAAGGGACCTCGCAACACAGCGGGTGGATAACATCTGGTACTGCTGTAACCGGGGGGTTCTTTAGCTCCACGTCTCCGATTCCTCTCTCAGATGTTGATATCACTCAGAGCCGACGACGAGCGGTCTTCAGGTACGCATCTCAAAACACGACAATTGCACCCGCTGTTTTGATCAACTTGTCGTAAGAAAACAACAGCACAGACAGCCGGACAAGCTAGCGCATATCATACTACACAAGCATCGTGTTGATGGTAGAACATTTCTGACAATAGGTGGAACTGAAGGTGATTGGGGCTGAACAAGGTGCAGGAAGAAAGGGGGCTGGAAATGAAAGCGCGATCGACATGGACGAAGCATGATGTTTCGCGGCCTATTTAATGGCGCGAGGCAATGCAAGAAACATCAAAGTCGGAGTGCGTGGAGGGTGGGGAGACAAGAAAGTTCCTACCTAACAGTCTATCAGGAAACATGCTACAAACTCTATCCAAGATCCTCTGAACGAAAATGTCCAGCCTCCTTATCACATCCCTCTGATGCGCGAGATTCTTATCTGCTCCTTACAGTCTCTTCATGCTCTATGTCTTCTCCTTTCGCTCCTCATGCCTGCCCTTATCCCTGCTCTCGCTCCAATCTGCTCCCTCCCCCGTGTTTCCGTCGCCTCCATTTTCCGATCCTGAGGCCGGTGAAGCGTGTTATAGTGAGGTGGGGTCCACATATATTGGGGGTGTTCAGTGTTCATCAGGGGTACTTCCCATGAAATGGAGGCAGGGTCCTTATTAGACAACTCAATTCAAAGTTGAAAAGAAGCAAGGGTGATAGGATAAGCATTTTTAATTAATGTCAAGATTAATAATTATCGCTTCTATCCCACCTTGTAATTACATTTTTCGTTGTCGACCTTCATCTGTCGTCTGATGCTGTAAATGAGAGGGGAAGAGAAGGGGTCATGAGCATTCATGTTGATTTTACACCCCTCCATGTATCACCCCACCCTCCATGTTTTCTACCCCACCCCCATATCATCCTCTTGTTTCGCATTCCATCGCTTCCTTGCTAACTAATGAACAGCCCTGCAGTCCCTGCAGTCCCTGCACCATGACAAAATGCAACAGGACGTGAGGGATGAAGAAGATGCGAAGATATGACAAGAGCGCTCGAATGAACGAAGAGGAAGAGGAAGAGGAAGAGGAAGAGCATCTCGGTCATCGTACTGTTTTCGGTTTTTAATATCTTTTGAGTGGTTCTACTGGTACATTTATCACTTTTTACATGAATTGCTGATGCTGCAACACAAGCTGACCCCCCTTGACGATGTCGTTCATTGACGCCACCGTTCCAAGCTTCCTCTCCAAGTTCTGTTCGATCTCGCAGGAGTCGAACTGAACAATCCCCCTGCCAATCCTTCCTCCTCTCTCATCAACGAGGAAGACGGGCGAGGAGGCGCGGAAGTCTCCCTGGACCCTCAAGATGTCCTTGAGCAGGATCGGAGTCTGCATGCTCGCCTGGCGGGAGAGCTCCTGCACCGACGAGGACCTGAGAGTCATAGCCCCTTCGCAGGTCGCCGCATGTGCCAACCAGTAGTTCATCTTGTCGTGCTTGCGGTCGTTGGCAGGGAACAGGGTCCCGATGTCCTTCCCCTCGAAGATGCCAGAGATGTTGGTCAGGTCATGACCATTGGCAATGATGGCCTTGGACCCCCCGGCAGTTGCTGTCAGGGCTGCGTTGATTTTTGACGCCATCCCTCCTCGCCCCATTGAGGACTTCTGCCCGATCTCCACGCTCGCAGAGTCCTGATAGACCTTGATCCTTTCCGCTCCTTCCTCTCCAGGAGGTTTGGTGAAGACGCCGTCCACATCAGTCATCATGGCGACAGCGTCCGCTCCAACTCCACCAGCAACCAGCGCCGAGAGCATGTCATTGTCACTGAAGCACATCTCCTTGTCAAGCTCCCTGCATCCCGTCACAGCGTCGTTCTCGTTGATGACCGGGATGACGCCAATGGCTGCAAGCTTCTCCAAAGTGTCCGTGAGGTATCTGTACCGCTGGGGAGAAGAGAAATCATGTTGGGTAATGAGAACTTGAGCGCACTTTAGGCCGAGAGCGGAGAACATGGATGTGTAGGTACTCATCAGCGTCTCCTGACCTGCTGCTGCGCAGGCTTGCCTGTCGATGACATTGGCTGGATCAGAGACAACGTCTCTGGAGAGCCCAAGGATTGATCGTCCGAGTCCAACAGCTCCGCTACTCACAAGAAGGACATCTCTTCCAGACTTCTTCAGTTCTTTGAGCTGCTCCACCAACCCGCCCATTCTCGAGAGTGCTAGCTTCCCGTCGGAGTTGATGACAACCGCCGTGCCCACTTTCACCACAACCCTTCGAGAATCTTTGAGAGCCTTTCTTTCCTTCTTGAAGGAGCTCAACGTAGTCTTTGACATGGCTGCCTTTGTTGCTAGTCCTCTTTGAAAACATGCGATCTGAAACATTCTGGCGATCTTCGGTGCCACAACAATATTTGATTGAAACATCGTCGATAAATATCAAAATAGAAACCTTTGAAACCTCCAGTCGTTGCTATGAGTATCAGCAGTAAGGATGAAGGATAGCAGTCTTAGGTAGCAGCAGAAAGAGCTAGGAATCAAGTCGTCTTGAGGATGAGAATCTTGTTTCGATTGAGCGTGGTAAGCTCAGGGCGGATCCTTGCGTCTGAATAGTTCCTGCATGCGGCACTTCTTTTATACCTTTCCCTTTCTCCAATAACCCTACCCTCTCAAGATGATACCCCTACCCTCTGTTGTTAGGACCCACTAGGTGTTGATGTCAATTAGAGCCAGAACTAAGGTATCACCCCATTCAAGTACCTAAATATAACCGGTACATGAACACGCCTGCAGCATCCACCCTCCCTGTTGATCCCTGCATTGCCTACAAGCAGTACCCACCCAGAATAATGCCTTAACGCTGTCCACCCCACCCCCTTCAGACCGGTTTGAGGTTTGACCATTTTGACCGCATTTTGATGGCATGGTGAATCGTATTGTAAAATGATCAAAATCTTTATTCGGGGGTTGTATCCCTAGTACTATTTTTACCCTTGACCAATGTGGTCAAACCAATGGTCAAAATTAGACCAGCAGGCAGCGCCCTGGCAGTGCCACGGTGAGTCCCGGAGTCCGTTGGCCGCCCGCTGTCCAGCCGTGCGTCGGTGGCACTTCGGAATGGGCCGGCCTCAGTTGTGCCTGCCCTTCACGGTTCCGATCATGGCACTGCAACGTCATGCGGACTCGGGATGCGGCCCACTACGGTCACACTCACTGCGGTACTTAACGCGGAGGCTTTGAGTAAAAGGTAGTACCGTACTGTACTACGCCGTACGGTCCGGCACTGACTGCCGCCCCGGCTCAGTGTGCAGTGCGCAGCCGGGCCGCACTGTGCCGGCCACCGCCGTCGGCGCCGGGTGGCGACGAACCGTTGCTTTGGAACTTTCACAGCGGCAGTGCAAGCCGCTGAGCCAAGTTAGTTACGGCTCACTGCCGAGTCAGCTAAAGTTGCGCCGCGGCCGCGGGCCATCCGATCCGATAACTTGAGTTGCCATCGGCTTGACATTTCAGGTGACTTAACTTAACTTTGAGTAACTTGTGACGGCGCTCAGGTGCCTTGAACGACGGTGACAGGTCACCCGGTCAAGCTGTACTACCGTACCGTACCGGGCTATAAAAGTATGATGATGAGTTTCTCTTTCATGGCGTGGCTGAGCCTTGCCTCTGAGTCGCCTCCAAGTTTGTGCACGGCGCCGGGATCATGCTACAGTCACCGTTCCAGGCGTCTAGGCTGGCCCACGCCGAGTCGCGGCAGGCGCCGCCTGCCGGCGCCCAGCGAATCGGGCCGCGAACAGTGAAACTTGAAGTGCCAACATTGGCGATGATCATTCCATGTCCATGTTACTCCAGTCAATACCGCAAGCTTGAGATGCATCATGACGAGTTAGAGTAAATGATCACCACTGATCAGGCTCGTTCACCGTTTCAGTACGGCCCGAACTCCTTTCAGAGTCGAACCCGTGGCAGAATAGATGTCACCGAACGTGTTTATTGAAACCATTGCAGGAACAACAATTCATAAATCGATCGTGAGGTTGAAGCTATCACCAACTGACATTTGCTCAGACGATGGAGTCTGGCAGCTATGCACATTACAACCCCATTCTCCCTCTACAACACAGCTAGGTGTCCGCGGCAAGTTGCTCCGGTCCATGATTGAACAGCTGTCCGAAGACACTAGGTTTTCCTGTGCTTTGCTCCTAGGTTCATCAACGCCAGTTTCGAATCTAATATGTACTTTACAAGTGCCATTCTCGTTGTCAGAATGCAAAGTTTCTGCGTGTCTTGACTTTGCAGGTGAATTGCTCCCAAGTTCGTCTTGCTCGAGAGTTCTTTTCTTGGAAGGATGGGAACGATGGATTGCAGCAAAAGCTGAATGCTGATCTATTGCATTGTCTATTACATCCACAGAATTGGTGACTGAATGTGAACTGTGATTTTCCGCATTTTTTCCAATTTTTGCTTTTGTCCTGGCAAGTTCTATATTTCCGAGAAGCAAAGACCCATCTTCAGGAATTTTGTTTCTGCTTCTTATGATTAATTTCTCTGAAATCATTTTTTCCATGTAAGCAGTCTGAAGCTCGTTGAGTTTAAAAACCTTTTTCATGCTTGTTATCACTGAAAATCAGATGTATCAATTTTTTGCGGTTGATTTTATCTATGCAATTTGTTCAATTACACCTCCAGTCACCGATATTCTTGTATATTTTTTTCAGCTTTCGAATATGAGGGCGGATGGATCGAAAGATGAAAGGCAATCAGCAGGATCAGTTCAACACTCAGAGTGACAGAGTTCGCAAGTCCCAGGGAGGAAGGAGCGAGGCAAGGGGAAGGCTGGCAAGCAGGTATTGAAGATCCATATCGTAAGCTGTGGTAAATTTATGTAGTAAGCAGGGAAAGAGGTCGCAACGTTTGAACGTCCACCTTCTTTACAACCCCTATGATGACAAGAATGATTCTGAAAATACTATTTTTGATGAAGAAGAAAGATCTGGACCCGTTTTACTCGGGTTTGATGCCGCCGATGAGCGGTGGGTATTGAACCGGAAATTGTGGGGTAGGGTAGTATTTTCAAACAAGGATACAGCTGATGCGGCTTCTACAGAGTTATGGGTAGGGTATCTGGTGTACAACACGGTAGGGGTCAATTATCCACGGAACAGACGGGTCATATTGTTTTTATATCCAGAAATTCACTGGGTGGGTAGGGTTCTCCCGGGATATTGACTGAACTGCCGCGAGTTTTAAAAATGAAGGCGGAGACTGACCTGTCGACTGGTGGGAAAAGGGTGGGGTGAGGGGGTAGTATCCTTGCATTGCCCATTGCTCAGCCGGACCTCCGTGTACAGTCACTGCTGACAAGTCCCCGTGACAGTTTCTAAGAAATACAACGTTTCAGGTATTGCCCCGACTCTGGCTGACAACCCCTCCCTCTCAACCGTCAACTGCAGCGGACCTGCCACGAACGTCACACTGAGCCAGGCATGCCCTTCTGGTTTTAGTCGGCCGGCACTCGGAGGTCCCGGGCCCGGCTGACCAGGCCTCCGAGTCCGGGTGACTGGCCGAGTGATCAGTTTGATGTTATGATGTACAATTTCAACAAGTGCCACCACAGTTGAAATTTCTAGTATGTAATATTTGAAATTATCCCAAAATAAGGAAAAAGTTGATGTGCTTGGGTCCGAAACGGTAAACGTTAGATGTACCCAGGTTTGCACAGGACAGTGAAACCCCTGAAATTATTTAGAGAAATTTAAACATATATCATAAAAGTTCAATTTTTACATGATATGTGGTCATGAATTTTCAAATATTGTCCTTGAGAACCCAGGAATGCATTCGGCACCATGAAGCTGGGGGCGGACAAACATGGACTCTTGTGGGAGCGAAATGGAATGTTGGGTGATAATGGAGAGGAGAGGAGAGGAGAGGAGAGGACAGGACAGGACATGTCAGGGCAGGACAGGACAGTAGAGGACATGTCAGGGCAGGAGAGGACAGCAGAGGACATGACAGGAGAGAACAAGACACGGGATGCGATGACGGAACGAGAGGACGTGAAGTTGGGACAAGGAGGGGGGGGGGGGGGAGGTTGGACATGCTAAGACAAAAGTAGAAAAAAATAGAATTGGGTGGAAGAAAAAGGGCCAAAAGTTAAAGAGAAGAATTGTGGGTGAAAGGAAGCATGCAGAAGGAAGCATGCAGAAGGGTGGAGGAGGATGGTGGATTTATAGCTATAGAAGATGCAAATGAGTAATCAAGATCAGCTAGAGGTATGAATATTACCGAAGCTTCAGTCAAGTGATCTTGAATAGTGTTTGGACAGGGTAAAAACAATTGTGACAACTCTGTCGTGGTTGTGAGTGTCAAGTGTTTGACGTGTGAAAGCAAGTAGATTGCGCCTCTCCACTTGTGCTGTTGTGTATTACTGATGCTTCGCTTTCAACAACAGATTTTCTCACAGTTGTATGATCCCTGCTGCACACAAGGAATTCTAGTTGCAAGATTCTCAGAAGTCCTTCTGAATCGATCTCAGCACAGTCCTTGACATCGACAGAGGTAGAATGCCAGAGACTTCAAACCCGCAGGACGTGGCTGTAAGAGAGGAGAGCGGCAACGATGGAGGAGGTGCGGGCCCTCAGTCTAGGCTGTCCTTCAAGGGGACCCAAGGATCTGAACGCCAGCTGGAGATTTTGAGAGCAGCACACAGTCATCCGAACATTTTTGTGTATGGGAAGAAGCAGGAAGCCTGGATGGAAATCTGCCATGCTCTTAATACCAATCCTCTCTTTGCTGGCAAGCTGACGCCCACAACAGCCAAGGACAAATTTGAGGAGCTCAAGTCCAACTGGCTGGCAAAGAACAGGAAACTTCTTGCAGCTGGCGGCCTCAACGAGCTCAAGTCGGAGTATGACAAGCTGTTCAGAGAGGTGATTCTGTTGGAGAACGAGCACGAGGAGGCGAGGAAAACGAAGAAGATCTGCAATCATAGGAACAAAGACGTCCGTCTGTCAGACAGTGAATGGTGTAAAGATTTCTTCGTTGAGGCTAGCGCTCCGGTCTGTTTGTATCGGCTCGAGTTGGATCTTTGACTTGGCACGCAGCAAATGTTTCCTCCGGATAGCATGAACATGGTGGGCAACAGCGGCTCGGGCAACGCCATGGGCGCTGCTAACAGCAGCAGCGGAGGCACCACCTTAAGCACTGGCATCTTCTCACGAGCGATGCTCCTTGTAGACTCTCTGCACCAGCAGGGGATCTTTACAGTAGGGCAGGTGGCGATTGTGCTGGGAGAAGTCGAGAGGAGTACTGATGCAGCTTGCAGGCAAGGAAACTGCGCTGGCTGTGCATGTGGCAGAAACCACCGGTGAGCTCTGAGATCAGCTGACAGTCAGGTGGCGGCTGATGTCTGGGTTGCAGATTGCCGTGCTGATGATGGCGTACAGCACGTCTCCTGACGTTTTCTCAGCTCGATGTTGTGACCGTTCCCCCTCCGCTGTCTGTTTTGACTGTGTTGCAGGCAAAGAGCTGCTGGATGGGATGGAAGCCAACGGGCAATTGAGCTCCTTGTTGCAGGCACATTAGGTGCAAAAGTCAAGATTCTCTGATTCCCTCACCCTCTTCAGTGAGGGGATTTCTCGTTTCCTCCTTTCAATCCTTGTTCTTATTTCCTTTGTTTCCGTTCTGTGTTGTGTGAGGGCTAAGGGCAAAGGTCTTGCAAGCTAATTTTATCATGATTTCAACGTTTTCTCAAATTACACACCATTCACAAAGCAAAACAAAGTCATTCAAGACGCACGACCACAACCTCTCCCAGGAAACAAGAACCTCTCCAACTCATCGTTGCTGACTCCCTCGTCACTGAGGAGCTCCTTCAGTCTGTTGTGCCACGTCTTCTTTCGCTGCTCCCTCCTCCTGCTCGACACTTGGCCTTGCATTAATCGCCTGCCCCAAAGTCAAAGGAGCCTGGCTGAACAAGAGGAGTGATCAAGGAGGCAGTCTGACCCCGAAGAATCCAGTCAACGCATCCATGCCGTAAGTCTGTCCTGGTGTGGTCATGGCGACAACTTGCAAGGCAAAGAACGCACCAAGAAGATCGCAAGGGCTCCGACCTGAGCCACTGTGACAGCCGCGTCCAGCACAGCAGCATCGCCAAGAGCTGAGATAGTGACTGCGACTGCTGGAACTGCGGCAACTGGCCAGTGAAAGTTATCATGAGAATCTGTCACTTGCAGGTTTGAGAGAATGGGGGAAAATGGAAACAAAACCATCTGCTGAGGGGACGAGAGAAAGGGGGTTGCAAAGAGCGAGGAGGGGGAGGGGGGAGGGGGACGCTGGAGTAGGTGGCCGAAGGAGAAGGAGTGATAGACTAGAGGAAGGGGGCTGGGTTTCGAGATCGTGGCTATGGACGAAGCTGAAGGTCTGATTCTTGTTCGTGATACCTGCCATGCTGCTCGACGCAATGGACTTGGGGATGAAGGTAGTTTGCTCGTTGGAAAAACCTTGCGCCTGCTACGTTTGCGGTTCAATCAACGTGGATCCATCGGAACTTCGAGATAAACCTGGGCATCAGATCGAGCCTTGGAGTTCTCAGCTGCTTCAGCCGTAGACGATGCTAGGGGAGACGCGGAGGAGGAGGAGGAGGACAGGGAGGGCGAGTCCTTCTTGGTGGATTCGTGGGAGTTCTTTTCCTTCTGGATCTGGTTCAACGCGAAGACTTTGGCGCAGAAGCAGTAGAACATAGCCATCAGTGTCTGCACGTACTTCTGCAAGCCGCTAGTCACACTCTCCAGACCATAGCTACCAGCCTTTCCTCACCATCGCACTCTCTAAGAATCTCCGCAAGGTGTCAACTGCCCTGTTGACCTTTCGGGAAATAATCTTCGCCTGCACATCAGCCCTCGGCGTCCTGGTGTTCGCCATCGTCCTGGTGACAAATGATTCCCTCAGCATCAGTCCGGACGAGCTTGTCGAACAAGTCCTCCCTGCATCTCATCGTTCAGACTTTGTTTGGGCACAACGACGTTGCCACAAACCTTGAACATCCCTTTGCAATGTGCTGCTTGCTGGGAGCAGGAGACGGGACGGGGATTGAAAGGCTGAGGAAGTGACGCAGCATAAGGTGAATGTCAACAAGTTGAGTCCGACAGATTCGAATGTCATCGTCCTGATAAGTCTTGACAAAGTCAGTCGCATCTAGTGCAACTCAACAAGTTCAGGAGGCATGGCATGAAGCATGCAAACATTCCATAGAATGAGCCTGAAGTGCAACACATCACAGGCATCCTTTCATTTCACATCTGCTGGAAAGCTAGAGAGACCAGAAAAACGAAACTCGAGCTTTTCTGTATCGTAGCATCGGAACAAGAGTTTGTACTCGAGCAATATCGTAGACTTGCCATCCTCTATCAGCTTCTTGAGATCCGAGACTTCAATCTCATTTCATTCCCCGCTCTCTTTCCATCTCTTCTCTTGTTCTACTCTCCTCCCATCCTCCAACCTTCTACTGACCTCTCCTCCTCCTCCTCCTCCCGCGTCCCATCGTGAGTCCCTTCGCTCACTCCGACCAGTCACAGGGGAGAGTATCTCGGGGGGTAGGGTCCAAATTTTTGAAAATCAGACCGGTCGTACATCATGATTTAGGTGGTGGGGGTACTCCGTCAATCATGGGTGCATTTTCTTGGGGGTGGGGTACTTTCAGGAGCCGCAACTTGCTTTCCTCTGAGCCTCTCGGAGGGACATATAAAACTAAGTTTTAGTGCCCGGCCGGCTGTGGCCGGGCCGCCGCTGTCCCGGTTCGTAGCCGGGCGATTCAATCATCATCGGCGTCACGGCCGGGCGACTGACGTACGGTCACCGTCGGAGTCACGGCCCAGTACTATACTGCCGATTATCCTCCGACTCACTTCAACGGTTTGACAGTGATGGTCACCGGTGACTCTGAGTCAGTCCGACCGTCACGTGACGTGACAGTGGGCCGCTGTGCGGCGACAGCCTCCGGCCGGGCCGCGGTGTGGCAGGGTCAACTTGCCACCGCAAGCTTCCTCGATCGGACTCTCCTGATTGTCCTCGTACCGGGTAGTACCGGCACGGTCGGATTTTTGACTCAGTTAACTTTGTCGCCGGGAGTAAAGCCTGAGTGTCCCCGGCCCGGCGGGCCGCCCGCGGCCGGGCCGGTACGGTACGGTCAGTCAACGTGGCACGCGCCGCCGCATCAGCCCGGCCTCCTGCCGCCGGGCCACTCGCCGGATCCGACTCGGCTCGGCGAGTCCCGGACGGCCGCGGCCGGAGAGTCCGAACCGCCGATCCGATGATACTACGACTCGAGTCGGGCGGCGGCGGGTCACAGTACCGCGGCCAGTACGGCCCGGTGGCCCAGTACCCAAGCCTCCGGATGATCGGACTGTCCGATTTCACTTAACTTTGACTCACTGAGTCAGACTTGCAGATTGGCAAGTTGGCAAGCCAGTGTCCGATCACTGAGTCAGGCCCGCCGGCCCGGAGGGGGCCGCTCAGCGGCTCTCAGCCGGGCAGGCCGCCGGGGCTCTTATCATCATCATAGTACCGTAGTACGGTAACCGTGAACATGGCACGACAGTGAGTGACTAGTCTAGGCTTCTAGGCTACCGTACTATATTCCGATACTCCGAGGGGCATCGAATTGACTGGCTCCGTGAGGGGGCGACGCCTTCTTCGAGTGGCAGTCAAAACTCTCCGAGGCTGGTTAATCGCGAAAACACAACGTTCGGATGGGGCAGCAACTTCTGTTTTACTCTGCTGACCGTCGGACGATTTGCCTCCTATGCCCTGCCAAGCATTGCGGGCTGAGCCCTACTATGGTCTACTAGGCTGAGGGGACGGCGATACTTCACAAGGCTGGCAGCAGCAGGCGTGCAGGCCATCCCTACACAAGGCTTCACACGCTGCACATTCTCTACCCTCCTCACCCCCGCCCCTGCTCCTGTCCTGTCCCGCCCTGCTCTACCTATCCGCCCTGCTTCATACTTCTCCTCTGAACCCCCCGCTCCCATCATGACCTGTAAAGATCCCGGCATCCGCATTCGTGCCAAACTGTCTCCCTGCGGGATTCATTGTGATGCGCTTCCCTCCCCGGCGCCTGACCGCCATCTCAGCCGCATCCTCCAGCCCTCGCCATGCTCCCCCTCAATCTCCTGCCTCGGACGGGCTGAGCCGGGAAGTGCCTACTCGCATGTGCTGGCAGCAACAGGTAGAGCGGTGGGCCGCCGGTCGATCGACGAAAAGGGGAACTACCTACTGGAAGACGAGGCCAGGATCCGGGGGAAGGAGGAGACTTGGATTGCATAAAGTGTGATTAAAAGAAGGATACAGTTGTATTCATATTTTGTCAGTGGGTAAAATACACAAATGCTTCGTGTAATCAAGATGTATAAAGACTAAATTCCTGAATTAATGGTTTTCTTGTATTTGGTCCACATAGCAGCAGTGATATTCAAAATTATCAAGCAAGCTAAAGTGTCAACTGAATTCTCAACTGAGAGGAAGCATGTGTGACAGAAGGAGATCCATCTCTCTTTTGTCACACCTCGAAGATTCTCGAGTGGACCTTCAAGCGCAGTTCAATAAGAACTCACGTTGGATTTCTCTACTAAGAGGGAAAGCGGTGAAACAGAAGGAGATCTAACTCTCTTTTATTTCTTTCACACACACACACAAAACAAGACAAGACGATACACACAAAGACGTCTCAACAATCGTGGCACACACACGAAAGGGGAAGAGGACCACCTAGCTCTGACGAGTTTCATCCTTTTATAGCTTCGAGGAATGAGCCAGGGGTGCCGTCTCTTGGCTACAGAAAGGAGGGGTATCCTGTTCTTGGAAGTTGACAAGCATCCCTTCTGACCTTCGAGAGGATACCATGCTCTCTCGCAGGGAAGAGAACCCCGTCCTTGCATGGCAGCAAGCTGCTTCCAACGGGTCGTACTGCACAAGACGCACCCCTTCTGTTTACCTTGTAAGTCCCCCACGGGTACACGGTTGCTGCAACAAAGGCCTCCACAGGGGTCCTTTCAGCAGCTTCACACTGGAGTAGAGTATCCTGGGTCATCCAGGAGAAGTCAGCTTCGAACACGAGTACGAGACAGCCAACTGTCCTTTCATCCTGATAGGCCTTTGTCTGACTCGGGCTCGGTTCCTATGAGCTCTGACACGCTCTTCTCTGCGCTTTCTTGGAGTGCTCAGGACTCAGAAAACTTCGCTTTCTCAGCTTGTCAAATCTGTTTTTCCTCTGACACGCTCCAGGCGCAGCACGTAAAATTCCTAATTGAGAGGCGCACGACGCTGCCGCTGCCGCTGTCCATGAGAAGAAGCAGAAGCATCTTGACGCGTGCGATGCTGTTCATATTGCTGAAGCAACTGACGGAGCGCCGGTGTACGCGAGAGATGGGCAACAGGTTCCCAAGTGTCGTCGGCGGAGGAAAATCCCTTCCAACGAACCAGATATTGCTTCGCACCATTACGTTGACGATGATTGATGACGCGAGCCACTTCGTAGAATCCAGGTACAGGTTGGGAAACCACAGGCTGCTGCAAATGATCTTTCCTGCGCACATGGGGGCGTAGGAACTTGGCATTAAAAACATCTTGATCCATGCGAGGGAAGCGCTGGCGAACATCAACTCGATAATTGTTGTTGTTGCAAACCTCGGTGATAGGGAAAGGACCAATGTATCGATCTCGAAATTTGCGAATTTCAAACTGCTGATTGAATAAACGCGCGTCGATCCAGACCAAATCACCAACTTGCCATCGAAGCGGGCGGCGAGAAGGAAGTAGACGCGTCTCTGCTCGATTGGCGATCGAGGCCAAGGTATCTCGCACAAGGTTTTCACCTGCACGTATGTTGTCGACAGTCGTGCGGGCTTGAGGAAGAACCTGATCAAGGGTCAAATCCATAACTGAGCGCGGATTCTTGCCGTATTCCACTTGAAAGGCAGATAACCCTGTTTCACGACGGGGGGCATGATTGAGGGCAAACTCAATGAATGGAAGATGGACTGTCCATTCAGATGAACCCTGAGCGAGTTTAGTGCGGAGCATATCCAGAATGGTGGCATTGATCCGTTCAACGCGACCATTGGCCTGGGGATAGTACTTGGAAGAGTGGCGTACCTGAACACCTAGCGTCTGAAATACTGTATCCCAAAAATGCGAGGAGACATTTGGCCCATTATCCGAAAGGATTGCAGCAGGAAGACCACGAGTGCGATAGAAGTATTGGAGAAATAAATCCACAAGTTCCTGGGTCGTAGCAGACTTGTGAGTTGGAGCCAGCGTGACATGTTGCGAGAACGAGTCCAACATGACGAAGAGAGAATCATGACCTTGGGAGGTAGTCGGAAGTCCGCTGAGGAGATCGACGGAGATGACGTCAAATTTGTCAGCAGGAACGTCATGACTCTTGGGCAAACCGATGGGTTTCTGTTTGTAGTTCTTCGCAGCCTGGCAAATGAGGCAGGAATGCACGTAATTTTCGACATCACGCTTCATGTTATTCCAGTAGACTTTGGCAACAAGTGAGAGGTAGGTTTTGTCAGAACCCACATGTCCGGCATCATCATGCGCTAGGCGTAGTACAGCAGCGCGGATAGCGGTAGGAACACAGATCCTCGTCCTGCCGGTAGAATCAACATAGTAGAGCAAGTCATCCGAAAATTCAAAATGACGACAACCCGGTTGGCCGAGCAATTCGCCGTCTTTGCCCAGTTGGTATAAAACCTGAAAGTCAGGACAGGTGGAGTAGTTTTGCATCAGTTGGGAGACGAACGAGGAATCCGTAAGCATCTGAACGGTATGAAGACCAACAAGAAGATCCCGAGCAATGTCTTCAGCGCGCATAGCGCGATCATGAGCCTGAGTCAGATCAGCGGGTGATTGGGGAGCGAACGATGGAGCAGGCGAGTCGCCTGAGATCCGACTGAGGGCATCAGCAACGACGTTAGTTTCGCCAGGGATGTGGTGGATCTCCATGTCGTACTGAAGGAAGGTAGACAACCAACGAGCCAGGCGGGGAGAGAGTTCAGACTGGGTGTTCAATCTGATCAAGCTGTGGTGATCGGTACATACACGAAAGCGACGACCAATCAAGTAGTAGGAAAAATGACGGAGACTTTCCTTGAGAGCAAGAAGCTCACGCTCATAGGTGGAGTAATTGCGTTCGGCGGAGGAGAGTTTCTTGCCATAAAATGCAACGGGATGTTCCTCGTTGTTTTCATCGATCTGATGAAGCGCGGCTCCAATGGCCAGGTCGCTAGCGTCTGTGTACAGGATGGTCAGCCGATCAGAACGGAAGTGAGCCAAGACTGGAGCCTGCGTAAGAGCTGTCTTGAGCGCGGCAAAAGCAGTCTCAGCAGACCGAGTCCACACGAAGCGACGTTGACTGGTTTTCAGCAGATCTGAGAGAGGTGCAGCATAGTTGGCAAAATTCTTGATGAAACGCCGATAAAAATTGGCGAGGCCTAAAAATTGGCGAAGTTGTTTCACAGATGCAGGAGGCGGAAAATCGTCGATGGCAGCAACTTTGCTAGCCTCGGGTGCAATCCCATGCGCATTCAAAGTATATCCGAGAAAACTGATCTGCGTCTGAAGAAACACACACTTGCTCCGTTTAACGAAGACCTGGTGGTGGCGGAGGCGCTCCAGTAGGAGACGCACCTGCTGTAGGTGTGAACGAGGATTACCCATGGAAAAGATTAAGAGATCATCGACGTAGACTAAGACGTTGTTCATACCTGCGAGGATGCCCTGTGAGAACTTCTGGAAGGCAGCTGTGGCCGTTTTCAGACCAAAGGGCAGAGCGCGGAATTGGTAGGATCCTTGTTCAGTAACAAACCCAGTATATTGAGAGCTGTCAGGAGTGAGAGCTAGCTGCCAGAATCCTGAGGCCATATCCAGCTTGCTGAAGTAGAGGGTATCCGTACTGGACACAGTACGCTGCGAGAGCACGCGCCCGATACGTTCCATGAGCTCGGTAGGGACGGGAGGCGGAAAACTGTCGTCGAGGAGGTGATTGTTGACTCCTCGATAATCAATACAAAAACGAAATTGAGGGACTCCTTCAGAGGAAAGACCTTTGCGAACAAAGATGACGGGACTCTGCCACATGACATCATTGTTCCGCTCGATGATGCCGCGTGCCAACAAGAAGTCGATCGTTTTAGCGAGCTCCTCCTGGAGCGTCGCCGGAAGTCGGTAGGGACGACGACGAATTGGACGAACGTCATCAGGAACCCGAAGGACAACGTCATACTGCCCCCGCGAGACAGGTGGCTGGATTGGTAGTTCGTCCACCAGAACATCGGAAAAATCCTCGAGTAGCTCCTGCAAGGCCGGAGCTGCGAGCGGCGAGGCCGACGAGGCGACCTGAGAGACCAATGAACTGGTAGAAACAGGCGAGGACACGGTCGCCATGACCCAGGGCATCATATCCTCAGGTGGAGGAGGCTGAAGCGTGTTCCAGTCCGCATGCCAGGGAAAAATCAAACACTGGGCTTGCCGCATAGCCGCGGAGCCAGGACCAGGGATGTGAAATGCGAGCGGAAGGCGTTGACGCCCCGCAGTACCATCCTGCGCTGGAATAGTAACGAGCTTGGAATGAAAGTCGATATTCATTTTCATCTTGGCAATGAACGGTTGGGACAAAATTGCCGGCAGTGACGCTGGAGAGTCCAAAATGAAGAACGTTTCTTGCGTTTCAACATTGGTGCCTGCAATGCGAAACGGCAGGAGGCAGGTTTCACGAAGCACGACCTGGGCGTCGCCATGAGCGAACTGAGCGGTAAGCGTGGCGGGAATTCGCTGTGTGGTCAATTGGAGCTGTCGCGCAACCTGACGCGAGATCACACTGATCTCAGCACCCGAGTCAAGCAAAGCCAGGATCTCGGAAGTAGCAGCTGGCACCGGAGAGGTGAGTGGTACAATGGGCAGATAGAGAAGCGATCCTGAAGACGCCCCGTGCTCCTGAGAGCCAAGGGAGTGGAGTGCAATCGGATGCAAGTGTACCTCGAGAGCGTCACCGTCCAGAGGCACTTCATCTTCCAGTTCTTCAGCAAAATGCACCTGAGGACGGCGCTTAGGCGTCTTCGAGCGAGCAGCAATCTTGTTAGCTGCAACGGACGGAGCAGCCTTGCGGTCGTCGGAAGTCTGAACAGCGCCAAGCAGAGGCGGAGAGGAGGAGTCGGACGACTGCTCACGTTCAGGACTCTGACTGCGGCGGGTACGACGATCGGACACTCGGAAGATCGATGTCCGAGTTTGCCACAGTTGTAACAACGGATGGCATTGGTCGATGTGTTTGGGGACGAGGAGTCTCCCGCACTCCTGGCGTCCTGCCGAGCAGCACGGCGCTCTTTGAAGGCCGAAGCCTTGCCAGAAGGACGACTCTTGCGATCATTAGAATTAGAGGAGCGATTGCCCACCTGCACGGAATAGAGCTGCCGGTGGGGATCTGCTCCCGTCGAATGTTCTTTGGTTCTGGTCTGATTGTCGATCTTGAGCGCGTACTCCCTGAGCTGACGGAAGTCAACATCATCCGAACGCTGTAGAGTCACCCACTGATTCAAGAGTAGAGCAGTCATATGCGATCGGACACCATTAATGAACCGTTTGCAGACCAGTGAGGACGTCGCAAATAATTTACCATCCGGAAGGAGCTGAAGTTGCTCGATTAAGGTCAGGGTTCGGGCAGCATACGAAGCAAGAGATTCCTGACGGTCTTGATTCAAATTGTCGAGTTGGTGAATGAGATTCGACAGCAGGTGAGGAGGCAGGAATTTTTCACGAATTTCCTCTGAAAATGTATCCCACTCCATGCGGCGAAAGGTCTCTGGCGGGTACTTGGCCACGAAGTGTTGGCGCATTGGAGCATCCAGTAAATCGAGGGTATGGACAACCCAGTTGGCTCGGGGGATACCATACACAGCAAAGGAGTACTGAATGGTTTGAACCCATGTCAAGACATTGTTGGCGCTAGTTTGGCGGGCAGTATCCAACTTGGGGAGATTGCGCAACTTAGCAAGCAATTGCTGATCAGCCAGAGAGACCAGCTGAGGACCGTCACGCGAGGAGATGGGGGGCGGTCCAGGCTTGAGAGCGGCGGGCGGGACCGCCTCAGAAGAAGCAGGAGCTTCGAGAGCGTTCAACCGCTGCTGAACCTCCAGCAGCGCGGCAGACATGTTTTGGAGCGACCGATCCTCGGTCGATTCGGGACGAAGATCGTCGTCAATGCCGGCAGCAGATTGCCAGTCATGTTCCAAAGTATCCGTAGCATTCTCGTCCAGCATGCGAGCTGCGAGTCGAGTATTGTATCCGGACATCTACGCGACGTAAGCGTAGGAAGAAGCAGAAGAACAGTGGAGAAAGGGAGGGGAAGAGAGAAGACTCGATCTCTGTCACCGATCACAACCTTGCTACCAATTTTATGTCACACCTCGAAGATTCTCGAGTGGACCTTCAAGCGCAGTTCAATAAGAGTCACGTTGGATTTCTCTACTAAGAGGGAAAGCGGTGAAACAGAAGGAGATCTAACTCTCTTTTATTTCTTTCACACACACACACAAAACAAGACAAGACGATACACACAAAGACGTCTCAACAATCGTGGCACACACACGAAAGGGGAAGAGGACCACCTAGCTCTGACGAGTTTCATCCTTTTATAGCTTCGAGGAATGAGCCAGGGGTGCCGTCTCTTGGCTACAGAAAGGAGGGGTATCCTGTTCTTGGAAGTTGACAAGCATCCCTTCTGACCTTCGAGAGGATACCATGCTCTCTCGCAGGGAAGAGAACCCCGTCCTTGCATGGCAGCAAGCTGCTTCCAACGGGTCGTACTGCACAAGACGCACCCCTTCTGTTTACCTTGTAAGTCCCCCACGGGTACACGGTTGCTGCAACAAAGGCCTCCACAGGGGTCCTTTCAGCAGCTTCACACTGGAGTAGAGTATCCTGGGTCATCCAGGAGAAGTCAGCTTCGAACACGAGTACGAGACAGCCAACTGTCCTTTCATCCTGATAGGCCTTTGTCTGACTCGGGCTCGGTTCCTATGAGCTCTGACAGACGTTCGAATTTGACCCCTGAGTTCCTCACTGTCACCGATGCGTTCGTCTTGCTGACGCCCAACATGATCCGCCTCTTCGCCATCTGCTGCGCCATCTCTAGTTTCTCCTGCTCCTTTTGATTCCGCGAGGAGCGAGAGCTGGCCGTAGAAACCTCACAGGGCAAGAAGGGGAGTTCTCGTTCTCTCCTTGTTGACAAGTTTTTCTCCTTAGATGTTGATCATCCCTTCAGCCCTTAGAGAGGAGGCCTTGCTCTCTCGCAGGGAAGAGAATCCCGTCCTTGCATGCCAGCAGGCTGCTTCCAACGCGTCACAAGTCACTGAGTTGCACTCCACAATGCTAACCCGTCCTCTTCCAGCACGTAGGCCACCACGGGTACAGAGTTCCTGCAACAAAGACCAACAGAGGGTCCTTTTCAGCACTGGCGCAGATTCACACTCCGGGGGTGGATGGAGGAGGCTGTTGCCTGTGCCAGTAACTTAAACCGTCTCTAACCTTCCTGGCAAGGGTCTGACTGAGTCGGGCTCAGTTGGCACTGCACTACGGCACTGCGGCAACACGCTTAGTGATGAGCTCTCAGCCTCAGTCTGCCAGACAGACTGAGACACTGATGATCGGATGGCAGGGCCTCATCACTGAGTCATCATAGCAGTCTGGCACTGTAGTGACGAGTAGCACTGAGCCTCGGATCGGATCAGGACCGGCGGTCACGACCGTCCGATCCGACCGTAAGGTCGGACGGTACGGTAGCCTGCCGGCCGCCGAGCACGGTCAGCGATCGGACGGACACGGCCGCGCACTGCACGGTGCCCGGCCAGACTCGGGACCGGTCTTGTCAGCGTCACCCGGCCGCCCATCATGGGCCAGTGCGAGCGCTCAGTCACTGAGTCAGTCCCCCCCGGGCCCCCGGGGCTGTGTGACAGTGAGGCGCGGCCGGCCTCAGCCCGGCAGGCTGACTCTGGCCTGAGCTATTTCTTTACTCAAAGTTAAGTTAAAGATCAGCAGTGGCGGCCGCGGAGCCTGCCAGTCCCGGGCCCCGGCCGAGCCACGGTCGGGCCAACTGTGGCCCGTGTAGCCCTCGTGACCGATATATTTTACTGCACCGTAAAGTTAGGGTCCTGCTTCGTCAGCATTGTTCACTAGCCAGTCACAGGCACAGTCTTAATATCTCAAAAGAGATGTTATCGCGTCACATGTCGTCACTGGACTCAACGTCTACGTTCCATATCCGGCCATAACCCTGAAACATTGTAAACAAGCAATGATTCGGATAAGTCGCTGACATAATCACATACGATTGAGGTCATCCCAATATCTTAAATCTTGCCTACCCTATCGAGTATCTAGTTTTCGAGTATCACAGGGTGGGTACTTCATACTGGCTGGTTACTCCAGGGGAGGGCTTCAAGGGTATATCCTCCTGTGTGGAGGTGGTTCCAATAGATACAGTTCGTGGAAGCGCCTGAGCATTGACAAAGACTTCTTGTAATTCTCTCCCTTTGCAATCACTGTCTCGTCACAATTTGTATTACAAGAAACACAGAGTTGAATCTTTGAGCGTTCAGGAAAAGAAGAATCCAACGACTCTAGCAACTCATTGTTTTTTCTTATGACGAATCATCTGGATTCGAAGATTGGCGACAGCTCTATGGCGAGAATAGCTAACGTTGAAGTAGATCGAAAGGAATTCTACATTTCAATGCCCTTTGATTTCGTTTTTGAGCCGAGTAAGAGATCGCTGCGCATCTCCAGGCAAGGGGACAAAGATGGTTTGCTAAACAACATCAAGCACGCCAGAAGAAAGTATGATAAGAAAAGATTGTATTCTTCCATGTAAATAGTGTCTGAAAATAGAACAATCTCTGCGATTCTTGTTTTCTGTATGTTTGATTTAAGTGAGAAGCTAAATGTAACATTTTTCAATGAACGTGATATTTGAGATATCTCAGTCGATGTGGTTTACCAAAGATTACACTTTGTTCAAATACCTCAAAGGATGATCTCACACCTTATTCGAGCATGAGTGCACATGTGCTGATCGAAAACACAAGCTGGAAGCTGGACAAACGGAAATCGCGATCTTGTAGAAACAGGCACTAGAGAAGCACGAGGGGCTTATTGTACTGGATGTTACAACATAGCCAGTAGTCCTAATAACTTGGGTTTGATCCAATTGTACACAGTATAAGATAGCTTTCCTCCAAACTCACCCTGAAGGCAACATAACAAAGGTAAAGGCAACATAACAAAGGAAATCGAAGATGACAACAACAAAAGTAACCGAATGCGTCTGGGTTCCCTCGCTAATAATGAATCATCATCTTATGCTTGAATCATCTTATGCAGCATCCACACATTCGAATACCATTATCAATCCTTGTGAGACGAACAGTGTGTACACGTATGAAAGTTTATTACATTCTGAGAATTAACTCGAAAAATGATTTTCACTGCATTATGCACAGGAAAAATGAGAACCATAGTTGAGAAACAATCAATATACAGGTACAGCTACTGCTACTTACAAACGAGTAATGAAATATACTATGAGAAGAGCTATATTTTCGCATAGACTGGATCTGACAGCTTTCTTCTTGCTCTTTCGATGTTTGATAACAAAAGCCCATCCGGACCTGTGACAATGCACCTTTTACTTCTTGCAGTCAACTCCAATTTGAAATTGGATGGAGCAGAAATGTTGCGGTCTGTAGAGATGGATAGATCACGAAAATCGTCTTGTAGGCGCTTGGACACGTGCTGTATGGCCTGTTGCTCGATATTTGCCATCTCAGCCATGTATTTCCAATGCAGACAAGGTTCTCGGATGACAGAAAGGAGGAGGAGGAGGAGGAACAGGAGGAGGAGGTGGGCAAAAGATCAGGGCCAAGTTCTCAGACAAGAGAGAGAGAGAGGTTGTGGTTGCTGTGGGAACGCGATGAGATCGGAGCGCGGCAGTGAAAGGAAAGCCAGCGCACAGCGTAACAAAAAAGCCGCAGCCACAAGTACTTCAGTAGGGACGTCGTCAAAGGTGGGGTACTTTCTGGGGAAGAATGGGGTAGTTCTGAGAAAGAATCTTTTCACCTTGCAGGGTACAGCCGTGGTAAAAAACCCTCATCAACTTTAAAACAGATTTAGAAGCTCAGCAGGCGGTCCCGGCCACCACCCAGCAATCAAACACTGACTTCTTGAGCACTTTGCCGGAGCTCATATCCGTCGAGATCCGGAAGCGTTTACGAATAAACAAGTTTTCATATCTTACAAAGTCAGCGGGTCCCGTGTGTCCATTACATGTGACCACTTAACGCGTATCTCCTGAGCCATTCCGACGTAACGTCTGTGAAAACTATCATTTTCGGATTTTAAGCTATATTGCCAGGGATCTTGAGATGCATGTTCCGACTGCACGCTTTACCAGGAAATGATAACCGGAACGGAACGATCCGACTGAAAGTAAATAGCAGCAGCAGCAGCAGCAGACGAAGAAGAAGAAGAAGAAGAAGAAGGAGAAGGAGAAGAAGGAGATAAATTGTGATAGAAGAGTGATAGAGGTGAATAAGGAAGACTTGAGATGAATACAATAGAGTCTTCGATCAATGCGAATGGTCAGTGTGAACTTTCAGACATCATGGGCAAGAAGGGCCTTGAAGACGGAATCGATCAAAGACATGGCGAAACGTCGATCATTGAAAGAAGCTGTCACTGCGAACAAGCTGGTACTCTGAACGAAGACCCACAAGCAACCAGAAGGCGAGCTTCTGCAGTCTATTTTTGCAATGACAGTGTGCGAGTGTTTCGGGACAAGAAGCTGGGGGAGAGGAGGAGTCTGTCCCTACGTGTCGAGGGGCCGCAAGGTTTGCTCTTGTCGAATATTCGGGAGGCTGTGGAGAAATATTCAAAGAAGGCTATTCAACGAAGCAAGTCTTGTCAGTGATATTCACAACTTGTCACATCCAGGAGAAGTCACCAACTGTCCTTTCATCCTGATAGGCCTTTGTCTGACTCGGGCTCGGTTCCTATGAGCTCTGACACAACTGCAACTTCTCAATCATTTTCTGTTGTGCGATGGAATGACATGGAATGTTCCACCGGTCGTCTCACGTGGGCAAGCAAGAGACTTGAAAGAGTGGAAATCAACAGTTGCGTAGATTCGGTTGAGAAATGTACTTTAAAAACTTTCTTACTGTTATCCTGTGAAAGCAGTCTTTGAAGTAAATTTTGTATCTTGACTACAAACACAACAGCACTCCTGTTCCACTGTTTCGGCTCTCTTGTACATGAAGATTTGTTGACTCCTCCTTGTTGATGATTACAGCACTGCCGAAAAAAACGAGCACGCAAACGATGAAAGCCAGGGTCCCCATACACCGCCTCCTGAGCGCATCCATCCCACTCCGCTGTCAACGTAGCTCCATGGTGATCCGCCAGGTACCAGAGAAACCGCAAAGCGTCAGCATGAAGAAGACCATCCGTACCTGCAGTGAAGGGAAGAAAGGCCTTCGGCGGGTGATGGGTGCCATAACTTGCGCGATGATCCGAAATCTTCTGTTGGGCGGGGCCGGAGAGCGCAGAAAGGCCGATGGGGCTGCCGCTGCTGTTGTAGGGATGAGTCATCGTGAAGTCCAGAACCAGCGGCCCGGCCCATTCCAGGTGTGGGTGGAGAGGCGAACTAAAGAAAATAAAAAATGACGTGGACAAACGTCATTTTTGTTTTTTTTGACAAGGCACGTCAAATCGAAGAGCTGGTATGGGGAACCAGCTGAGTAATGAGAAGGTGAGCAAAGCAAGGCAGATGGCGTACACGGTGTGTGTGATGGAGGAGAGGAGGAGAGGAGGAGAGGCGGAGAGGAGGAGGGGAGGAGGGGAGGAGGGGAGGACAGGAGGACAGGAGGACAGGAGGACAGGAGGACAGGAGGACAGGAGGACAGGAGGTGAGGAGGACAGGAGGACAGGAGGACAGGAAGAGAGTGAAGAAGGAGAGGAGGGGAGGAGGGGAGGATGGGAAAGGGGGGGGGAGGAGGAGGGTTGAGATGAAGGTAAGGACAAGGAAAGGGAGAGAAGAATGAGATGGAAAGGACAAGGGCAAATAAGCAGGAGAACGATATCAAGGTGACGTAATGCATAGTTCCTTTGTTGTCCGCCATTCACTACATCAGGAGCATCGTTTGGGATCATTCAAAAAACCAGTTGTGCTAGAAGGAAAAGCAAAGGAGAGGCTGGTAGAAAGGATGTACAATCGTAGAGATAGGAAGAGAAATTGTTTTCCCTGACAGATCTTGCGATATCTTGAATCATGAACTGACAAGGATGCTGCAGCAAATGAAGGCGACGGAGGTCAAAGCTCTGTGCATGAAGCGATGCGGCTGGCTGATGAAATCCGGGCTGACAAACACGCACATGCAGAAGAGGTGACTTGGATTGAGGGACAGTCCTTCCCTGCCGTTCCTCTTACTTGCTGACTGTCTGCTGGGAGTGCTGGTGGGAGGAGGGAGAGACTTCTGACGTCATGTCAGGTGGTGTGCGATCTACGAGCTGAAGCTCTTCTACTATGAGTCGCCTAGGGTAGGATGATGTGTTGTTGTTCTCCGAGGCCCCAGTGACCTCCTTCACTTGATCGCTCCTCCTCCTTCACTTGATCGCTCCTCCTCCTTCACTTGATCGCTCCTCCTCCTTCACTTCATCGCTCCTCCTCCTTCACTTCATCGCTCCTCCTTCACTTGATCGCTCCTCCTCCACTTGATCGCTCCTCCTCCTTCACTTCATCGCTCCTCCTACCTCACTCTGATCGTCTGCCAGAGTGAGATACCCAACGGCATCATCGACTTGCGAGGAGCGATGATCAAGAAATGCTCGAAGCCCAAGTTCGCGTTTGAGATCGAGACTGGTGAAGAGCGAGAGAGAGGCAAACGAGGGCTCAAGTGATGGTTTGTCAGGCGGAATGATTCAAGAGCCCGGTATCCGGAGAAGAACCTTCCTCTTCGTTGCAAGTGGTGTAGGTGAGAACAAGCAGGAGAGGAGGAAGAACGGGGGAGGGAGGAGAGAGGAAGTTAGGGAAGGGGGTGGGGGGGAGGAGAGTGAAACACGAAGGTTGCTAACAAGGTTGACCTCAAAGTCAAAAGAGAGAGAGGAGCTTAACAGAAGCAGATGAGGGGCAGAGAGGGAGGAGAAGAGAATAGGAAACGAGGGAGGAGGAGAGAACAGCAGAGGCAGTCAAAGGTCTTTGAAGTGGCCATCAAAAGACAGTGTTGACTTGACAGTTGACATCAGTTGATGGGCGTTTGACACTCAGTCTCTCTGAGCGCTGACGCTCTTTCCCCCCAGATGTCAAAGAAGCTTCCCTCAGTGTCGACCCCCGTCAAGCTGAGCTGGAGCAGCGGCAGAAGGACAGGCTGAGGCAGAAGATGTGGATGGTGAGGTTATGTTTGTTCCTCCTGCCTCGGCCTTACAGCTTGTGCAGAAATGGATATCAGATGAGATCGCGCGAACTTTCATCTAAATCAGAACATCCCTCTCCTTCTCTTGTATTGAACAACAGCCTCTCATGTACAACAACTTCCTTCACATCACTCAACAAACAAGTTCAGTGTAACAAACAAGTTCAGTCCGCACCAGCAGCATGCAGCTCAACAGCAGGTCCGCCCCCCCCCCCCTCACTCTTCCAACGACAGACCCCACTGCCTCGCCTTGTCGTGTACCGCCTGAACATGCGCGGAGGTGTTAGCTACCGAGAGCATCCATCTCAACGTTCTGAAAGGCAGCAAACAGACGCGTCAGTTTCCTCTCAACACCCTCAACACTCTTCTCACATCTGCGCCATCTCCCCGCCGCTCTCAGTCTGTAACAGCTCCTCGTGCCTCCCCTGCCTCGACGGGCCGTCGAAGAGCGAGGAGAGCAAGAGGATACACGTCGACCGGCAGGCCTTGTCCTCGTCATACAGGAACTTGAAGGCTTTCAAAGTGATCTACATTCACCTCAACCACAACTATCAGGCTGTTCCGAAGTCACCTCGTCGTATCTCTTCAGCGTCCTGTCGATGGTCGCGAACCCTCCCAGCCCGATCAAGGCAAGTTGAGTCTGCGTGTTTCCCCTGACGAGGTTGAGAAGGCAACTGCCCAGCCTTTCAGCCCCACCCGGGCCATCAACCATCGACATCACCGCACTGACTCGTTCAGTTCCGCAGACCGGATGAAAGTCAGCGGCTCGAACTCATTCTTGCCTTCTTCCTGCACCAGCAGTCCTCTCAGTCAGAGCAAGGGTCCTCTCAGTCAGAGCAAGGGTCCTCTCAGTCAGAGCAAGGGTCCTCTCAGTCAGAGCAAGGGTCCTCTCAGTCAGAGCAAGGGTCCTCTCAGTCAGAGCAAGGGTCCTCTCAGTCAGAGCAAGGGTCCTCTCAGTCAGAGCAAGGGTCCTCTCAGTCAGAGCAGGAGTGCTTTAGCGTACCTCGTCGTTCACCATGTCCACAATCTCCAGCATCTTGGTGAGAACCCCACTGCTCGCTATCGCCGACTGCCGGGCCAGGTGCTGGGAGGTAGACGGCGACTCCCCCTGTGGGACTTGCGAGACCTTCCTGACAAGGGTGCAGTAGTTGAGCACGAGCTCGTCGCTCGCCTTGAGCTTGCTGGAAAACTTGGCGGCCCAAGAGACGATCCGGTCGAGGAGGTGAGGGGAGATCTCGGTGTCTTCTACACAGTCCCCGAATGCTCTCATGCAGTGAATCTGTGCCGGGGGTCACCTCAGACCACCCCGAGCTCACTCACCAGCAGCTCTCCGTCCTGCTCGTTGTTTTCCATCCCCTCCATCACGTACCGCACGATCTCGTGCTCGTTCATCAAGCTCTTGGCTGGCTGGCTGAGGCTGACCAGCTCTCGTATCAGCATGCAGCAGTTGTTGATGGTGACCGTATCCTGATGATGCTCCATCGCTATCACCGTCACCTCCACCACGTTGCTCTCCACCATGAGTGAGCTCAGCCTCTCCCCTGCTGCAACTGCCTTGGACTGCAGGAAGACCATCTCCTTCCTCTCCTTGCCGTCTTCTAGAAGTCTCCCGAGAGCATACAACCCTGCAGAAACAAGCAGATCAAGAAAGACTCGTGCCCTTCCTTCATTTTCTTCCGTTTCCAATTTTTGTGCATGACCATCTCTCCCGCCTCCTCGTCTCCCTCGCTCCCTCCTCGCTCCCTCCTTCTCTCCTTTCCCTCCTCTCCTTTCCCTCCCTGCCTCCCTGCCTCCCTGCCTGCCTCGCCTCCCTGCCTGCCTGCCTGCCTGCCTGCATGCCTGCCTCGCCTGCCTGCCTGCCTGCCTGCCTGCCTGCCTGCCTGCCTGCCTGCCTGCCTGCCTGCCTGCCTGCCTGCCTCCCTCCCTCCCTCCCTCCCCCCCATCACTCCCTCCCCCCCATCACTCCCTCCCTCCCCTCCCTCCTTTCCATAGCTCACCATTGCTCTGCACATTGGCGTCAAGAGGATGAGCGCACATCCCTCCCAGGATACACTTCACCAGCATCGGCCACAGATCAGGGTACAGCAGCAGGCTCTTCGAGCATGCCCCCAGAGCGTACTGTACCGTGCTGATCGTCGTGGTGCAAGCAAGCTTTCGCAACATGACCTTGCAAAGGAGCTCAACGCATGACTGCGGGAGGTACTTGCCTCTGCGCAAGGAGATGTTGAAGCTAGTCTGATCTCTGGCAACGAACTCTTGGAGGGATGCGAGGATCTCGAAGACTGTACCTCTCACCATGGCGCCATCGTTGGCGTTGTCTGCCATCTTCTTCTGAAGCTGGTCAAAGTGCCGCCTCTCCGCCTCGCTCAGCTGGTCCGACATGGCCTCTCCCTCCCCACAAGTCACCTTCCTCCGCTCGTTCTCCTCTCTCCCATCCTCTGGCTCTCAACCTCTACTCTCTCTCTCTTCTCTTCTCTCCTCTCCTCTGGCTCTCCTCTCCTCTCCTCTCCTCTCTCAATCTCCTCTCCTCTCTCAATCTCCTCGCTCTCCTCGCTCTCCTCGCTCTCTTCTCACTCTCTCTTCTCTCTCTCCTTCGCTTCCCTCTCTTCTCCCATCGCTTCTTGGCTCCATGATGGTTTGATGGCTCTAGTCAATTTCACCTAGCTAGCTAGTGTCACGATCGGCCCGCCCACGGCGGCGGCTGCTGCCCCGGGGGCCGGGCCCGGCCCGGGCCAGCGCTGATCGGACCGTACCGTCCGGGTCACCCCGGTGGTCAGTGCCCGGCCGCGGGCACGATCATGGTCAGGCGGCGCCGCAGACTCCGGGTGACCAGTTCGTCGGTTACCCTGCGGTTGCCCCGTGTCCCGGACCCGGGGCCCGGGCTTTCAGTCACCAGGGCCGACCGTGGCTTCAAGTGCCGGCGGGCGGCCAGTCGGACTCGCCTGACATGGGGCGGTCGGCTCTTTGTCACCAGTCATGCTTCAGATCTGTATTCAAAAACCGATTGACAAGAACCCATCGCTGGCCTGATTTCATCAATCCGGGGTTTGAACAGGAGCCACAACTAACTTGATCATTCACAATAACTTGATTTACAACATAGCCTGACTCGGATGCCCTCGTCATGATGTCTTCGAGTCGTCGGAGCTCGAGCCATCTGCGTCAAGAGGTCGTCAGGGCTCGATCATGATGTAGCAGTCAGGCTTCACCACTTCGCTTCGCGCTTCCCGACAGTGAGTTGATCGACCGGAGCATCTGGGACACGAATCCTCCTTTCTCCTCATGGTCTGACGTCCGCAAGGGAGCCCCCGCCTCGGTGTCTTCGTCTGTATCCATCGTGTACTCTAGCGGGGAGATACTCCCGGTCGCACAGCTCAATGCCTCCATGACTGGTGGGCCTGAGCCTCCCTGGAGGGAAGTGAGTGTCGAGCAAGCAGAGGATGGAGAGGAGAGGGAGGAAGAGCATGGGAATATGATCGACCTTAAATGTAGAAACAGGAGGAATGACAGAGCTCTGCTCTTTCATGGCCGCCTGCTGCAAAATCCTCTTTGAGCCATGAAGAGCGAACCAACTCCAAACACACCTGAGCAGCTTCTGCCTGCTCTTTCCACCCTTGAATCTGTCCTCTCAGCTGATGGTTCTATTTCGCCAATAAGGGAACAATTTTGACCATCTCTCAAGATACCTTGATAAGGTTCTTGTGGCTGAGAACCTCCTTCGTCACCTGTGAGGCATCGTCATGCTCCAACGGGCGACTCGTGCGGGGAACGAACGGGGCTCAGGTTGCTAGTCTTGAGCCACTTAGCGATGGCTGAGTGTTCGTATGAGAACCCATCGGCTGCAAACACCTTATGGCGGGTCAGCAGCTGCAAACGACTCTTGAGAAGCATCACCGGATCCTCCATGACGTTCCCCGAAATCGGACAGCGGATGCTCTGTTCAACGAGCGCTGCAGGACTGGCGGTCACGATCGAAGAGATAGAAGCCGATGTTGAGGAGATCATCGGCAGTTTGCGGTACCTCTCACTTTGACGATTTGATCCTGAAGTCTAATGACTTCCTCCCTTAGGTCATCTTCAATCGCCCCCGTGTCCTCCACCATCTCGAGTAGCCTCGATATCGTGGCTTCCAGAGATCGTCAGCCTATGCCACGGCACATACAGCAAAAAAATCATACCGGTGCGCTGTTTGTCACAAGATTCGTAAACTGCCTCAACCACGGCGGAGTCCACAATTCCAAACAACTATGGAATGTCAACGGGGAAGACTTGCTTGTCACTCAGCACCTTGCATAGTTCTGCCAGTTCTTTGGTCTCCCTAGACCGAATTTCTTTCTGGCGGAGAGCCTCTTCCTGCCTAATCATCGATTAGCTCTCTATGAGCCATTTCACCACCTGAATGAATACCTTGCCCGGCACTTTAAAGCTTCTTCAGTGCCAGGTAACACCTGTTGCACAGTCAGACTCCAACCAGATCATTGATGAGGCATTCGTCTTGAATGTTGACAGAACAAAGCGCTTACTTGTTCCATGGAGCACCTCGGGCAACGAAACCTTCCCACATTCCCAGGTATAGTCATTAGAAAATCGCAAGCTGAAGAAAACGATCTCGTGAGTTTTGACATCAGCTTCCAACTTCAGAAGACCAGTGTTTCCGCATCTCACGGCCATCGGTCCTGATCTTGCTTGAGAGTGACCCGGTCTTGCAAGCTGCACATTGCACCTGCAAACACACCAACTCTCACGGAAGCGCTGCGCAAGCCACAGCAAAGGAACCTGGGACAAGAGAACTGATTGACGTTCTCTGGCAAGCACATGAGTGTCCCACATTCTACTCGGCCACATCGTATGAAGGTATGTGCTGTCTGACATTGCGGGCAAACAGGTCTGAACACTCGACTGCTAACTTTGATGATCGTGCCGCACGAACCGCACTGTAACCTGCGCTTCGGCATCCTGACAATCGAATCTAGGAGCTGATAGACTCAATCCTCGCACACAGTACAGAAATCAGATTTTCCAGGTCGATTCTTCCAAGCCTTCACGGTCTTTCGATGCACAGTTGATCCTGATCAAAACATTCAATTGTGAGCAAACAAAAATTGACAAGAATTTCACTAGGAAAAGGTGTACAACGATATGAAATCAAATCACTGCGTTACTACTCATGGCATCTAACTCTGATGTTTCAATGTTTCGATTCCGAGACACAAACATCGGCCTGACCGACTCAACCCATCCAACATCGAAGGAAACGTAAGCAAGCAGGAACTGTATGATACAATTAAATGTAGCTACGATCAGAAGTGATTTCAGCTTTCCCAATGGTCTATTTTGTGAATCTTTGCGAAATACCCTGAGCGCTGGGGTTTGGTAATGCCATTTACACAAACTACATTTTCAACCTTGCTGCTACGACACACGGACCGTTTAGATCATGATCAGAAGTCACAAGAGCACTCTTCTTCACCTCTTCTCCTTCTACATGCATCACATCTTCTCAGCTCTACCATGTCTGCGCCACATCTTTCATCCTTCATGGTTGTCTTCCTCGCCCTGCATTCCCCCTCTCCTTGTCGGGTTCCCCTGTGGCATCTCCAGCATCAACCCCCCGGAACTAACTACTTTTTTCCTAGAGGGGTACCTCTACTGTGCCCCAAGACACTATATTTGGTGGAAATCGAAATATTTCAAAATTTCGTGAAATATTTGCTTTTGGTTTTTGTATTTTCATGGATCCTTAACAAGGTTTGGAGAATGTTTCAATCAGATTTTAGAATCTTGAATAAATATTGCCCCTCTTGAAAACGTTTCTCTTGCAGCCTACTGGCCTTTGGACCCCCCCACCCCTCCAGTTGCCTTGACCCTACTGAAATCATACCCCACCCCCTATTTGGACTACCCTACCCCGGTCTTCCCAACCACTGCTCGACATTCCGATCCCCCTATCACCGTCCCAGCACAGGGTGATGGGAGGGTGACGGCCATTTTAAAACACCCCTACCCACTGTTTCCCAATGTATCCACTGAAAAAAGGGGTGTAATGGGTACCATTATCTTTATTAAACAAGGGTGTACCCTACCCCAAAATCAATCAAGGTATTCTTGAAGGACTTTCAAAGTTTTGAACATGTCAACCTATATTTGAAACTCTTAATGTTAACTTTGACAACAGGTTTGTCTACCAAAAAGGATGTTGTCACTACCCACCACCCTCCTCCCTGCGAGAACTCAATATAGCCGACAAAGGTCTAGAGCAACTACCCCCACCCACTCATATTTCCACCTACCCTTGATTCCACCCCCACCCAACCCTCCCTCCTCTCTATACGCTTACACACATCACCCGCTACCCCTGTTGCCCTACCTGTAGCACTCATGACCCCCATCAATGATGAAACCACCCCCAAGTACCCACAATCTTCCTCGGAAGTCATCTACAATGTACCCCTCCTTACAGGCTTATCTTCACGTTTTGCACCTACACCCTATCCCACCCCCACCCCTACCCACTGCTTCTACTTCCAAATTTGGAAGCATCCGGTCTCGGCACGGCGACCGGCCCGCCCGGGGAGCCCTCGGCCCGGTAGATCGGCCGGTGTGACCGGGCCGAGGGCCGAGTCACTGGTAGAACCGATTCAAGTAAAATGTACCGAGTTGCTGCCCTAATTGCGAAGTAGATACTGAGGTAATTAGTGTTTGCTGCCCCTATGCTGTAAAGCGAGAGAGGGAAACAAAGTTTAGTTTTGAGTTTGAGTTGGGCGAACACAGGTGCGAGGTCAGGAGGACAGCAGCTAGTTGAAGACGAACCAGGTAGATAGAGCGAGAGAGCGAGAGAGCGAGAGAGTTGCAGTAGAGTCAGGAGGAGAGCTTCGGAGAGCAGAGGTTGGACTGCGAGAGCAGCGCAGGAGGAGCAGACAGTCCATTCGTATGATGCACTCGAAAATCGGTGAGTGGCAATCGCAATGCAGCTACTGCCCCTGCATCCTTTCATTTTCAACGTCCCCTCCTCCTCCTCCCCTCACCCGCCTTCCCTTTTCTTTCTCTTTCTCTACCCTTCATCCACCTAGCCCCTCTCTACTCCTCCTTTTTTGTTCCCTCCCCCTGTCCCCTCCCAACCCAACACGATTATCCCCTGATCTCTCCCCGCCCCCCTGCCTCTTCCAAAGCTGGTCCTACTTGCTCTCCTTTGCCATTGAGCTAACACCACCTACAGCCTTGGCCCTCGCATTGCTGGGCATCTCTCGCTTTGAGGTAGCTGCTGGGTCGTCGTTGAAGATGACAATTACCACGCCCAAGGTGTTTCTGTTTCCGGCCTCTCTGTTCTTGTGCTGACAACTTCCTCCCTTTATCCTCCCCTGTCTTCCTCCTCTTCCTCTCCTCTCCCTCTCCTCCTCTCCTCTCCCTCTCCTTTCCTTCCTTCCTCTCCCTCTCCTCCTCTTCCTCTCCTCTCCCTCTCCTTGCCTTCCTCTCCTCTCCCTCTCCTTTTCTTCCTTCTTCTCCCTCTCCTTTCCTTCCCCTCCTCTAACCTTCTTGTCACGCTACCTCCCCTCTTCACTTCTGTATTTCCCTTCCTCTTCTGTATTTCCCTACCTCTCGTCTCCTCTCGTCAATTCCTCCCTCTCGCTACTCTCCCCTCTCCATTTCCATTCCCTACACTTTCCCTGCCGTGCCTCTTTCCTGCTCTCCTGGTTTTGCTCCTCTCCCTACCTAGACTTCTCAAGGACCAGCACAAGTCGGGATGGTTTTGTTACCTGCTAGCTACTGTCATCGGCTGAGAGGAGGAGGAGACGAGGGAGTGGTACGAGTGTGATCTGCAATATTTGTCTGGCAGACGTGTTTGTGATGTATGTTTGTCACTGTGGATGTTGTTGTGATGTATGTTTGTGACTATGGATGTTGTTGTGATGTATGTTTGTCACTGTGGATGTCGTTGTGATGTTTGTTGGATGTGTTGTTAGCAATCACTCGGTCTCAACTGCAAGGTTTGACTTGTTCGACAGGAGAATGCTGATTTAGAAAAGAGGTGCGAGTGAATGAGTTTGAGGAGATGGACGAATGACAAACAGCAGTCAATGAAAGAAAGGATCCAACAGTACGAAAGCTTGTTGAACGCTGATACAGATGCGGTTGGTGCTGCTTGTAGTGCGTATCAACTTGTGCTGATACATGGATGTGATGCAGATTCAGGAGATGAAGGATGAGATGGAAGCCATGAGAGGTGTGTTGTTGATATTGTGATGGCGGGACCTTGACTGGCTTGCTGAAAGAATACATGAAGACAAAGCTCGAGATTGCAGCGAGTGAAACCAAGGAGCTGAAGAAACGTGCGATGTTACATCAGCCGTGGCCTGAGCTGAAGTTTGTGTTGGATAGAGAACGAGGAACTGCGCAAGAACATCGCAGACAAGGTTGGGAGATGTGGTTTCAGTGAGAGCAGGTGATTGATGAGGATGGTTCACAGGGAAAGAAGGATGCAGTCAGCAAGCTTCAGGCTCAGATTGACCAGATGACGGTACGCTCACATGCTAATCATGGAAGGTGCGGGTGAGAAATTGCTGTCAGGAGCGGCACACCAAGGAAGATTTCGAGCACAAGCAGACGGTCAAGAGGTTGTGGATGTTTTAAGTGAAGGGAGAAATGTCCTGACTCGAGAGAAGTTTGAACAAGCGTATCTCCAACTTGGGTGCGGCACTCGGGCTTGCGGGTGAAGATGAAGATCGGGAAGTTTGTGAAGAGATTGATGAAAGTCTTTGTTCGCAGAGTTTTACTTCAACAAGATCTTTCGTCCCGGAGAAGGTGCTGACTTGTTTCTGCCTGCTGAACGGATGATGTTATGGTTGAAGATGTTGTGATCTCACCGGAAGAACTCGGTGAAGAGAGGAGGTTGAAAACACTGTGTTTGTTGACAAGATCTGTAGATGAACTCCACAATGTTATCCAAGAGATCAATCGCGTGCGCATCGGTGAGGAGGAGGAGGAGGAGGAGGAGGAGGATTTCCGGAACGGGGAAGGGGAAGGGCTTGAGGGAGGACGAAAAGGAGGAGGAAGGAGATTTTCAGAAGGGAGGAGGGCAAAGCTGGAGGGGAGGAGCAACTGACCATGAGCAGAATCAGGAATTGTAGACGAGGAGCTCGAGGCTGACGAGGTGCATGTGAAAGGTATTCGGAAAGGAGGAGGACGAGGGGTGATATTTGTTTTGCAGCTTGATTGAGTCGGAGATATCAGATGGGACAACAGCGATATTTTGCGAAAATTCTCTTGTTAAGAATGAACGAATATGTTGTTTGCTAGCCTTTGGATCTGTAGTGACCACCCTATCTCTTCTCTTCTCTTCTCTTCTCTTCTCTTCTCTTCTCTTCTCTTCTCTTCCCTTCCCTTCCCTTCCCTTCTCGTATTCACAACTTAGTTCGCCTCTTCCTCATCTTGCTTCATATTCTTCTTCTCCATATCCGACTTTATCAACTTTTCCAGCTGCTCGTAAGGGCGTTTGGCCTGTAGCCGATGAGTCAAAAGGGAGCAGACACCAGAGAGAAACAAGAAACAGAGAGGAGAGGAGAGAAGAGGGAAGAAGAGGGGAGGAGAGGAGGGGAGTGGAGGGGAGGAGAGAGGAGGGGAGAGGAGAGGAGAGGAGAGGAGAGGAGAGGAGGGGGGGGAGGGGAGGGGAGGGGATGACAAGACAGAAACGCGGGAGAGGAGAGGAGACAGAAAGGAGAGCAAGACAAAAGGGAGCGCAAGGGGAGAGGGGCAGGAGATCAGGAGAGACTGCGTGGTTAGGGAGCAAGAGGAGAGGAGGTATGGAGGAGCTGACAAATATCAGACCTCAAGGCCATGGCAGCGGCTGATCACCGCGAGCCCTTCCTCCGTCTTCATCAGATCCTGTGCCATGATGATCAGAACCCCTCCTGCTCCTGCCCCTGCCCCTGCTCTTCCTGCCCTTGTCCCTGCTCCTGCCCCTGTCCTTACTCCTGCTCCGCCTTCTCTGACCATTTTGACTTCCTTGTTTGCCTGCAACACATGTCGCCTTGTGTTGAACCCCTGAACTGCTCTACTTCTCTCCTCTTATCCTTCTCCTCCTCCTCCTCATCATCATCATCATCATCATCCTCATCATCATCAACCTGCATGCTGACGGTACCCTTGTCCTCCGTTAGCGCGGCTGCTGCGGACATGGCGGCTTCCACTGCCTGCTGGTCGGGTACGCGATCGGCCTCGAGGAAGACCGAGAGAGTTGAGATGGCGACGAGGCGGAGGAGAAGATCCTAAGAGACGTCAGAAACCAAGAGGAGACGACGAGACGAGCGGAGACGAGACGAGACGAGGGGAGAGGAGGAGAGAGGAAGGGAGAGGAGAGGAAAGGCTTACTGTCTCAATCTTTCCCTCGTCCCCTCCGAAAATTCTCAGCGCTCGCTGCATCGCCTCAACCTGCTCCCGCATCAACCTCCCTCCCTCCTTCCCTCCCTCCCTCCCTCCCTCCCTCCCTCCCTCCCCTCCCTCCCTCCCTCCCTCACCTTCTCTCCGGCGCAGGCGTAGAGGAGCAGATGTTCCATGCAGACCTCGTGAGCGCCGTTGGAGAATGCGAGGAGAATCGCTTCCTGCGTGCGGAGATGAGCAGGAGGAGGAGGGAGCGAGAGAGAGGACAAGGACAAGGAGGAGGACAAGGGAGAAGGACGAGGAGGAGGACGAGGACAAGGACAAGGAGGAGGACAAGGAGGAGGTCTTGGTAACCTTGACGCGCTGAGGATCTCTTCCCTGCATGATCGCACGTCCATCTGCTCCCGTAGTGCTCGGGGGCGTCGCATGCTCGAACCAGAACTTGACTTGTGCTGCAGCAGACAGATTGAGGAGAAGAGGCAGGAAGGAGGACGAAAATGAGGACGAGAATATAGGAGGGGGTAGCGGAGAAGGTAGAGAAGGAGCCGAAGGAGCATAAGGTGTTGGTGGTGGTGGTGGTGTTTCGGGGTAAGCAGGGAGGGAGGCAGGCAGGCAGGCAGGCAGGCAGGCAGGCAGGCAGGCAGGCAGGCAGGGTCAAGGCAGGAGGAGGAGGAGGAGGAATAAAGCAAGAAGCAGGGGAGATCAAACCCTACCAGCCTCCTGCATGGGGACGGAGGTCAAGGAAAGTTGTCGAGCTTGAAGATCTTGGATGATGCCCTTAAGCTGGCAACATGGATCAGATAAGGAAGGGAGGGGGGGAGGAGGAGGGGAGGAGGGCAGGAGAGGAGGAGGGCAGGAGAGGGGGAGGAGGGCAGGAGGGCAGGAGAGGAGGAGGGCAGGAGGGCAGGAGGAGAGGAAACACAGCAGGAGAAGGAAAGGGAAAGGAAGAGGTAGAGAAGGAGGAGGCAGCGGCAGCGGCGGTGGAGGGAGAGAAGGAGGGAAGGTAGAGGAGGAGAAGGGAAAGAGGAAGACTGATGAAGCAGAGAACAGTAGGAGGAGGAACTTACGTCTTCCTCCTTCGGGGTTGGGAGCTCCGCGAGGAAGAATACAAGTCTCCTCCAGTCGACCAGGTTGCCTCCTGTCTGATCGAAGGGCTGCAGGAAGAGGAGCAGATTCAGCGAGAGGAGGAAGAGGAGGAAGGAGAGTGAGAGGAGGGAGAGGAGAGGAGGGAGAGGAAAGAACAGAGGACAAGGACAGAGAGGAAGAGATGAGTAGAGCAGAAGAAGGAAAGGAGGAGGGAAGAGGTGCAGGAGGAGCAGGCGAACCTTCAAGAAGGCACGAAGTTTTGAGGGCGGGAGGCTGATCCATTCGACCGGGAGAATCTGTGGAGAGAGTTTGTCAGAGAGAGAGAGGAGGAGGGGGCGAGACAGGACAGGACAGGCGAGAGGAGAAGGGAGGGGAGGGGAAGGGAAGACAGGAGAGGGGAGGGAGGGGACGAGGACAGCACAGGCGAGAGGAGAGGGGAGGGAAGGAGGGGAAAGGAGAGGGGACAGGACAGGACAGGACGTGCACCTTCATTCCCGCTATGGACGCAGCCTTATGCAGCGCGTCGGTTAAGATCTCAACGGTTATGACCCCTGTGGATGACGCTCTGCGATGAGATCAGAAGCGAAACAGAGAGGCAGGAGACAGGGGAGGGGGAGGGGAGAGAGCAGCAGCAGCAGCAGCAGCAGCAGCAGCAGCAGCAGCAGCAGCAGCAGCAGCAGCAGCAGCAGCAGTTGCCTGATGGTTGAACCAGGAGAGGTCGCGAGCAACAGGCTCACGTAGGATGAAGATAAACCTGCAGTAGTCATCCTGTCAGCTCTCCTCCTCCTCCTCCTCCTCCTCCTCCTCCTCCTCCTCTTCCTCCTCCTCCTCTTCCTCCTCCTCCTCCTCTCTCCTCCTCTCTCCTCCTCTCTCCTCCTCTCTCCTCCTCCTCCCTCCTCCTCCTCCATCCTCGCCTCAGCTCTGGGAGCAGCTCAGCAGGAGTTGTCCTCCTCAACGATCTGTATCCTTCTGAGTTGTCAAGATCAAGTCGACAAGGGACGGACCTTGCAGCACGATGAGACCTCAGGTATGTCGGAGAGCAGTCGACATAGAGGCTCCTCCCTCCTGCTGCTCGTCAAGCAGCGTCTTCCTGTAGCTCCTACCTGTTCTCCTCTCCTCGCATCGCTCGTCCCTTCCCCACATGCTCGCGTACGC